TTGAAGTATTGAATATATTTTTATGTAATTCCTCAAATAAGTAACATCTAAATTACTAATGGTTTTTGATTATAATCTTCTCAAGTGATACTTAAATATAGATAAAAAATAATATTTTAAGGATTAAAATAATATAATTAAAATATTTAAGATTAAAATAAAATAAATTCCATATTTTAGGGGCTTACGATGTAATTAACCTAAATTTAAATCTAACTCTATTTTACATGAGTTTGTAAGCCGAAAATAGTTCGAGGAAGGAAGAAAACTACAATAGCCAGAAATTTGGGGGTTTATGGTAATCACAGAGGGAAAAAAAGAAGAAGAAAAACGAAAACTCGGTACATCATCAGTCTCTCTCAGTATCGGAATTCACAACTCGCCATCGCTCCCTTATTTCTCTACATCTGTACCCCCCTCGTTTTCTCTGCTTTGTGCCCTCTCTCTCTCTCTCTCCACTCTTCAAATTGCTTTGAAGTGGCGGTATGTTCGTGCATTTAATCCATGAGCTACTACCTTTTCTCAATGCACATTGTCTGTTTTCAGCTGTATATGTTGTCGTTTTGCTCGAATCAAAAGCACAATTTCCAATTTTTGCCTTTTTAATTCGAGTCAAGTACATATTTTTCTCAGTTAATCTGCGAGTTCCTAGATTCTTTCGCTTTTTTGAGACAATCACTTTCACCATTTTTTTGGGTTTTAGATTCAAGTCGATTTTCTACTCAGTTAAGTTGTGAGATTCTACATTCTTCCTATTTTATGGATTCAAACACTAGCACCAGTCGATTTTTTTTTCTCGGTTAGGCTGCGAACTCCTACAACCTTTCTCTTTATAACGTTTGGTTTTCTGCATTGAAGTCGATTTTTTTAGTCAAGTTGCGAACTTATGGATTCTTTCTAGGGTGGGTTCGTCAGACTCTTGTAATTTTTGGTTTAAATTTTTTTTAAGGGGTTTTAGGTCTATGAGTTTCGACTACATTGTGCTTNGTACTTTTTAACTTGTGTGGTATGCACTCATTTGTTGTTGGGCTTTGATTTGGTATCGGGCAGCATGGATGGATTGGACTGGTGCAATTGAGGTTAAGTAATGGCATGCTGGGTTCATAGTTTATTTGTTTACTTGAACAGGGTGATCAGTTTTTTACACAGCATAGTTTTCATTATTTTAATTCAGGTAGGATCGTGAATGCCTGTTGGACATAATGCTTATTGCTGGATTATTGGACCCATTTTACATGTCAGTCAACTTGGTCTTAGTGAGTGGTATTGGGTGTCCTGGAATTTTTAAATTTAAGTATTAAAATTTCTCATAATATAGTTTTTGATATTTGAGAAGAGAAAGAAAGATATAACCATTTTCAATAACATAGCATGATCCAAGGGGTCATTGGTACAATATACTGCATATACCTGATGACAAATATGATGTTATTTTATTCAGTTATTTATACTTTTTAACTTTAATACAAATTTCCATTATTATTGTGACGCCTTTAAAACCGGGAGTCCTTTCTCAACCCGTTGATCACCTATCAATCGATAGAAGTATTTGTGCATATCGCATAACCCGACACCATATCATCGCACGGCCATTCTAAGGTCCAATATCTATCAATTTACCATCAATATTATTCTATTTACATCTTTTGAACAAAAAGGCTCAAGGCCCGAAGACTTGACAAAGTTATTTTAAATTTTTGAAAATTTCAGTAGCTCGTATACTTGGTACCGCTAACTGATGCCAGTGAGCTACTGGTAGTTGTGAACCTAACTACCAGTAGTTGAGCCTACTACGAGCGAGCTACCAGTAGTTGTGAACCTAGCTACCAGTAGCTACCCACTGAAATCGTGCTACCGGTAGCTAATCATCGTGCTACCAATAGCAGGGTCCAATTTTTCCCCAATTAAGTTCTTTTTCAATTTTAACTCACTCAATCTCATACATCATTTACCCAAATTGATATAGTATCTAATTTTATACAAAATATAGTCTATATGAGTTCATTAGACAATCTTTTATTCAACATCACAAGTCTAAAACCATTGGCACCTGTCCTGCACCTGAAATATTGTTGTTATAAAGTAACGCTCAATATGGTATCTCCTAAAGAGACTATTCTTTAACCTAGATGCATATGAAATGCTCACATGCAATTCAACACAAACATATATCCATTCAAAAACATACAACTTCAAGAAGTAAATGTCACAATGCTATGCCATGTTATGAAGTGAGAATAACACATGCAATGCAATCCGAGCCCTCCGCCAACTTCTACAACACATGCAATGCCATGCGTATGCATTCGGTCATTCCAAATCCCCGTCATTGATGTTATGCAATCAATGACTATTTTTATAAGATGAACCATGTGTCTTTCTTGAGTAGGTGATTTCCCGAATTTGCACCAACAACCCACCACACCAACACGGATTTTGGTATTCCACCTTCGATTCCACATACACCAATACACTTTTTTAGACTTTTACCGTCAGAAGAATATAAACTAGTAACTAGGTCTTGCATTCGAGGGAGGGTCTAGCTTTTCTTGTTATATCCGATACAAGTTTTTCATACAACCCGTGCAACTTAGTCGGATTTAGGTCTAACCTTTCCGAGTCCATATCNATTGATGTTATGCAATCAATGACTATTTTTATAAGATGAACCATGTGTCTTTCTTGAGTAGGTGATTTCCCGGATTTGCACCAACAACCCACCACGCCAACACTGATTTTGGTATTCCACCTTCGATTCCACATACACCAATATANCAATGCCATGCGTATGCATTCGGTCATTCCAAATCCCCGTCATTGATGTTATGCAATCAATGACTATTTTTATAAGATGAACCATGTGTCTTTCTTGAGTAGGTGATTTCCCGAATTTGCACCAACAACCCACCACACCAACACGGATTTTGGTATTCCACCTTCGATTCCACATACACCAATACACTTTTTTAGACTTTTACCGTCAGAAGAATATAAACTAGTAACTAGGTCTTGCATTCGAGGGAGGGTCTAGCTTTTCTTGTTATATCCGATACAAGTTTTTCATGCAACCCGTACAACTTAGTCGGATTTAGGTCTAACCTTTCCGAGTCCATACCTTAACCACTAAGAATGATGTTTGATCCAAAAACATGCATACACACCTACACTCATGTCAGAAGTATATAAACTAGTAACTAGGTCTTGCATTCGAGGGAGGGTCCAGCTTTTCTTGTTATATCCGACACAAGTTTTTCATGCAACCAGTGCAACTTAGTCGGATTTAGGTCTAACCTTTCCGAGTCCATACCTTAACCACTAAGAATAATGTTTGATCCAAAAACATGCATACACACCTACACTCATGTCAGAAGTATATAAACTAGTAACTAGGTCTTGCATTCGAGGGAGGGTCTAGCTTTTCTTGTTATATCTGACACAAGTTTTTCATGCAACCCGTGCAACTTAGTTGGATTTAGGTCTAACCTTTCCGAGTCCACACCTCAACCACTAAGAATGATGTTTGATCCAAAAACATGCATACACACCTACACTCATGTCAAATGCCCACGAATGTGATAAACTTATGCATATGCAATGTAATGAACAATTGCATATTATATCACTATGCAACCAAGTTTTCAATTGCAATTTCAACATCATGTTCAACATGCAATTTCAACATCATGTGGTGTATGACTGTTGATGCAACAAAAAGAGGCAGTGGTGCAGTGCCCCCTCTTTGTCCATCATGCAGCCAAAGTTCTTTCTTTTTCAACCAACCTCCACCCCACGTCCGTGGGGGAGGGGTGTTTAATTGGTAATTCCTCCTTGTTGTCTACTAAAATGCCGGTGCTCAATAGGTGTTATGGCCACAAAACTGCTAGGCTAGGCTAGAGTAAGGGGTTGGTGTGAGTAAAAGGTAATTCAGATTGCCTTCATTTTCTAGGCCATATTGATATGCCTACATATCTTATCTTGGGTTCGAAATTGATATTAACTCAGGTAAACGCCAGCCATCAATGTTGTGGACTTCCACCTCATTAATTTTATCTACTCCAGGTCTCCTCTTCTTCAGTTTCCATTAGCTTTGAATATATGCACATTCTGTTCTGTTCTCAATTTAGATGCAGAGTTTAGGATTGCTTGATGTCTCATCTTCAGACAAGAAAAATGATCCTATTGCAATTACTTGTTAGCTGTGGGCACTTTGAAACACTTCTATATTGGCATGTGTAACACGTGGTAGCCGGTGAGGAGAAATGTCTCACCCTTTGCATTTTTGTGATGCTTAATAAATGTGAATTGATGCTTGTTTTGATAGAGAAGTAATATCTGACATGCTCTCAAAAGTGGATTGAGGGTTCCAACTTTCTTCTTTTTCTTTGCACTTTTGCTCAAATTTCCTAACTCCAAAAAGGTTAGAGCTCTATGTTCTTGTTGATTGGATGAAATAATTTCAGTTAACTCAAATTGATATGCATGTTGAGGGAATAAGNAGTGGATTGAGGGTTCCAACTTTCTTCTTTTTCTTTGCACTTTTGCTCAAATTTCCCTACTCCAAAAAGGTTAGAGCTCTATGTTCTTGTTGATTGGATGAAATAATTTCAGTTAACTCAAATTGACATGCATGTTGAGGGAATACGNTTTTCTTTGCACTTTTGCTCAAATTTCCTAACTCCAAAAAGGTTAGAGCTCTATGTTCTTGTTGATTGGATGAAATAATTTCAGTTAACTCAAATTGATATGCATGTTGAGGGAATAAGTTGGGCTAAAATTAGGAATTTTTCAGTTTTTGTTAGTTTGAAATTTGTGTCAACAATTGGTCAATTGTTGCAGCAGTTCATACAGTTATATGATTGTATTTACATATTTGCTACTTTCAGTTAGGTATTTGTTCTTCTTTCCATGTTAGTCAAAATTGATATATCTGTGTCGATTTGAACTTGATACAGAGTGTGTTGGACGATTCTGGCCCTTTGAAAAGCCTGCTGGATTAAGCCATGCCGCCGCCCAATCCAAGAGTTGCCAAAGCCTTTCATGCTATGAGGGATCTCGGCATTTCAGAAGAAAAAGTGAAACCGGTGTTGAAAAAACTTCTTAAATTGTATGATAAGAATTGGGAACTGATCGAAGAAGAAAATTATAGAGCTCTTGCTGACAATATATTTGAGACTGAAGAAGCAGAGGTGCTCTTTTTCTGTATCTCTCTCTTTCTCTCTCTCATATCTCTCCCACCTCCTCTTTCATTCTGACTGGCTAGTTTATTTTGTTTTATCACCATTTATGTATCCTCTATTATAACTTTATGACTACTCTTCTCTGATCAGGTGGAGGAACATAAGAAAAAATTGGACAATATTGAGGTATGTTATCTATCCCTTATGTTTGTTCTGATTCTTGATACTGTTCTTACACTTGAATATATCTTCACTGGTTTCTTTTTCATTTGTTTGAAATTGAACTTCAATTGGCCAGCGAGAAAAAAAAGATTTGGAGGATGAAACTCAGGTGCATGATGAGATTGAACGCCCTTTAAAAAGGTTGCGGTTAAGGCACCAAGAAGGACAAGCTTCACCTTCTCTGAGTAACTCTGGCCCCGGCTTTGATGGAACTGCAATAAAGAAACCTAAAGTGGAAGATAATGACCTACCTGAAAGTCGTCCCAAAGATCAGTTACCAAATATAACTGAATCACCTCAGCTTAATACAGGAAATGTGAGGATTGAATCTCAACCCGTGTCGCCCCAGCCACTTGGCAGGAACAAAGGAAAGCAACCTGTTTCGCCCAAGTCTTTGTCTGTGCAAGAAGGATCTGATTCACCACTGATAGGTGCTGCTGACAGAACTCAGGCAGCTGTCATGAAGAGAATTGATTCTAATCCAATCTCTTCTCCGATGCGTCTCAGAGACAGGGGAAAGGGACCTCTCTCACCTCAAATTAATTCCAGGGAGAAGAGGCCAATTGCTGATAAGTCATCCCATGCAGTGGTCTTTAAAGAGCCAAAGGTTGAGCCTGTTGTTCGTTTACCTAGACAGAAGATGCCTCAAACTCATGCTTTGATCAAGCCTAAAGAGGAGCCATCTACAGATGACGTGCCACAGTTTGAGGTTCCTCTTGCAGTGATCCATCCGGGTACATATTCTCCCGTTGCTGAATTATGATTGTATTATGTTAAACAACCATCTATTTTAAAAGCTGAAACTGTTGGAGATGGTTTGTAATTTAAGTATTTATACTTCAACACGCCTTTTTCACATGTAGGCTAGATTTTGGTTCTAAAAAATCATTTAGTAATTAGGAGGGCGGTGAGATTAGAATACAGGATTTTGCTCTGATACCCTNTCTTACACTTGAATATATCTTCACTGGTTTCTTTTTCATTTGTTTGAAATTGAACTTCAATTGGCCAGCGAGAAAAAAAAGATTTGGAGGATGAAACTCAGGTGCATGATGAGATTGAACGCCCTTTAAAAAGGTTGCGGTTAAGGCACCAAGAAGGACAAGCTTCACCTTCTCTGAGTAACTCTGGCCCCGGCTTTGATGGAACTGCAATAAAGAAACCTAAAGTGGAAGATAATGACCTACCTGAAAGTCGTCCCAAAGATCAGTTACCAAATATAACTGAATCACCTCAGCTTAATACAGGAAATGTGAGGATTGAATCTCAACCCGTGTCGCCCCAGCCACTTGGCAGGAACAAAGGAAAGCAACCTGTTTCGCCCAAGTCTTTGTCTGTGCAAGAAGGATCTGATTCACCACTGATAGGTGCTGCTGACAGAACTCAGGCAGCTGTCATGAAGAGAATTGATTCTAATCCAATCTCTTCTCCGATGCGTCTCAGAGACAGGGGAAAGGGACCTCTCTCACCTCAAATTAATTCCAGGGAGAAGAGGCCAATTGCTGATAAGTCATCCCATGCAGTGGTCTTTAAAGAGCCAAAGGTTGAGCCTGTTGTTCGTTTACCTAGACAGAAGATGCCTCAAACTCATGCTTTGATCAAGCCTAAAGAGGAGCCATCTACAGATGACGTGCCACAGTTTGAGGTTCCTCTTGCAGTGATCCATCCGGGTACATATTCTCCCGTTGCTGAATTATGATTGTATTATGTTAAACAACCATCTATTTTAAAAGCTGAAACTGTTGGAGATGGTTTGTAATTTAAGTATTTATACTTCAACACGCCTTTTTCACATGTAGGCTAGATTTTGGTTCTAAAAAATCATTTAGTAATTAGGAGGGCGGTGAGATTAGAATACAGGATTTTGCTCTGATACCATGTTAAACAATCACGTACTCTAAAAGTTTAAGCTATTGAAGAAGATGCAATTTAAATATTTGTACTTCAACATATTAGTCTGATAAATATGATTTGTTGCAAGCCTATTTATTAGATGATAAATTATATAGTTTAACTTAAATTTTATTGCATGAACTAAGTCATCGTTGCCTGGTGACGGGGTTAGTAACGGTAGTTCTTGGAGTATAACTGATCTCCCAAAGATTTCTTGGTGCCTCACTTGGGAAATGGGTCTGAAAATATATACAGCTTTGAAATATTGTATCATAATGAGCCTTTTGGAGTCAAGCCTGAACTAAGGATTCCAAGTTCCTACCCGTGAGTGGAGCTCGAGTTTAACGTACTCATTTCATTACAAGCTCAAACTGATCATTGGTTCTCCTCCAGCTCAGTCTAGCCAAGCTTGAGTACTCCATTCATCAGCTTAGCTCTACTTGTTTACACGGCTAGTCCATATGATGGGCTCTTTTCAATTTGTGTGGCAATGGAGTCATCTTTGGTTTTGGTCACTTGAAGTTCTAGGCCATGCTTTCACTCGTAAGATCTGAATTTAGTCATTTAGTGATTGTTGTAGTTGACCAATTAAAATAGGAGGAACATGTTGACACATGTTGATTTGTCTGCTAGAAAGCACGGATAGTATCCGATACAATATGGACATGGGGATACGACAAAGTTTAAAAATATAGGATACGGGTACGATAAGAATACGGCTATTAAAATACTATAATATATTTTTTTAAATAATAATAGAGTTGTAATATATTAAAAGTAAAACATATATTATAACAATATTAATAATAAGACCTAACAAATATTTTTTTTTGATTAAAATTGAAATAGATCAAATTAAATATCTACCATTTTCATCAAATATCATGACATTTATTAACATTTATAGTATATAAGTTACATAACAAAAAAGAAAAATCACACTCCTTTTAATAGTTAAAAGTTGTTTTTTTAATAAAAAAATTTATGTAGGTCGTGTCCGACTAAGTTCACTGTTCAAGACACTTTTAACTGTGTTGAACATGTGTCCGGCCGTTTCCTGGCCATGTCCGTGTCCAACACTGCCACGGCACCCGTGTGGAATTATCCGTGCTTCCTAGTTTGTCAATAGATTTGATTGGTAGTATTCAACCTGTTGATACTTGGAGGACTGTGATATTGAGTTATGTGATATACAAATTTATCTGGCCTCTAATTTCCTATTTTCCCGNTTTTGATTAAAATTGAAATAGATCAAATTAAATATCTACCATTTTCATCAAATATCGTGACATTTATTAACATTTATAGTATATAAGTTACATAACAAAAAAGAAAAATCACACTCCTTTTAATAGTTAAAAGTTATTTTTTTAATAAAAAAATTTATGTAGGTCGTGTCCGACTAAGTTCACTGTTCAAGACACTTTTAACTGTGTTAAACACGTGTCCGGCCGTTTCCTGGCCATGTCCGTGTCCAACACTGCCATGGCACCCGTGTGGAATTATCCGTGCTTCCTAGTTTGTCAATAGATTTGATTGGTAGTATTCAACCTGTTGATACGTGGAGGACTGTGATATTGAGTTATGTGATATACAAATTTATCTGGCCTCTAATTTCCTATTTTCCCGTTATTATGCACAATAACACATGCGAGAGAGTACTAATTAACGTGCATTAACTTTTGCTAAATATCTTGTGAAGAAGTATTTGTTGAGTATTGAACTGCTCTGCCTGTCTTTCTTTTGCTCAAAAGTCTTTTGTTTCAACTTTTGAGCAGAGTCATTAAATGAAGGAGATTCTTCATTAGAGAATGGTCCACTCAGAGAACAACGTGATCCAGCACCTCTAGCTTCTTTAATTGAAAACGGGGAAGATAGAACTGATGGTGTGCTGGCATCATCAAATGAAACAAGATCCAATTGTGAGCTTGCAACAATCCTTGATGAATCCTCCGCAAGCTTAGAAATTTCTTCTTCACCCGTTGGAGAAGTGAAAATCTCTCTGATTCGTACTTCTGCTGCTGGAAGACCTGACTTCCGTATGCCGAGCTTAGATGCAGTTCTGAAATTGATGGAGGACAAATGCCTGAGACCATACAAAGTCCTCGACCCAAATTTTTCTGTAACAAAAATAATGGAGGATATGTGTGTGTGCACTTGGGAACTAGGGACTGTCTCCAGTAATGAATCGCAAGAAACAGTGATTGAGACACCAACTATGGATTTGATGAAAAAATCTGGTGCAGCAGATGCTTTTGGTGCTGGAGGCATGCCATCTAACCTGTCAAATGGGCCAGTCAATATTCCATGTAACGCTAAGAGGGCTTTGCCTCAAATTCCTAGGCTTCCTCCTCCTTGCAATGGTCTGGATGACCACATACAACCTGATAAGCGTATTAGTAGCAATGATGGTGTATCTGAGTACGAAAAGGATCATGAAGACCTGGTTCATATGAATTCCCAGAGTGTGGTGGTGGTTCAGAAACTTCAGCTTACTCCTAATGATAGAAGGGCTCTCCATGATGCTAATGATATTGCCAAAGGACAAGAAAGAATTTCAATCTCATTGGCTAATGAAGTCAACAGTGAGTGTCCACCATCCTTTCACTACATTCCCCAAAATGTAGTTTTTCAAAATGCTTATGTGAATTTCGCTCTGGCGCGTATTGGAGATAATAATTGTTGTTCTACTTGTTTTGGTGATTGTCTCTCATCATCCACACTGTGTGCATGTGCACATGAGACGGGGGGTGATTTTGTATACACAACGGAAGGCCTTGTCAAGGAGGAATTTCTAGATGAGTGTATTTCTATGAATCGTGATCCTCAAAAGCACTGCCTCTATTATTGTAAGGAATGTCCACTGGAAAGATCAAAAAATGAGGATATTTTAGAACCATGCAAAGGGCATTTAGTGAGGAGGTTCATCAAAGAATGTTGGTGGAAATGTGGCTGCAATAAACAATGTGGCAATCGAGTTGTACAGCGGGGCATAAATTGCAAATTGCAGGTGAGATTTTGTGGTATGCTTTTCAACTTTAAGGATCATCTACACAGATTTCTGAACTAATATTCACCTAATGATTTTTATGATTACTTCTGTCCTTTTTTTTTTGGTATTTTCTAGGTGTTCATGACACCTGGAGGAAAGGGTTGGGGTCTTCGTACTCTAGAGGAGCTACCAAAAGGGGCATTTGTCTGTGAATATGTTGGAGAAGTGTTGACCAATTCAGAGCTGTATGATCGAGTTTCACGAAGCCCCAGTAGTGAGGCACACTCGTATCCTGTATTGCTTGATGCTGATTGGTGTTCAGAAGGAGTCTTAAAAGACGAAGAAGCTCTCTGTTTGGATGCAACATATTATGGGAATGTTGCAAGGTTCATTAATCACAGGTTAGTTGGTACACACAGAAGCACATGCATGCAGGTTTCCATGTGCCATACACTAGTTATCATCAGACATTCTTTTGAAGCTTTCCTGCTGGTTTTTCCAGTTGTTCAATAATATTTTGTGGGTTATTTATGCGTAAGTCTTCAAAATTAATATCCACACTTGCAGTTATCTTGGTATTGTTAAAATCATGCTTGCTTACCTTCTCTCCATATTATCACAAATATCTCAGTTTCTCTCTAGTTTTGATCATAGGCTTTTGTTTTTTAATTCTAGAGAGATGCTATTACCTATCCAAGTGTCACTAAAAGATTAAAGATGTTATTGTCGAGAAGAAACNCACTAGTTATCATCAGACATTCTTTTGAAGCTTTCCTGCTGGTTTTTCCAGTTGTTCAATAATATTGTGGGTTATTTATGCGTAAGTCTTCAAAATTAATATCCACACTTGCAGTTATCTTGGTATTGTTAAAATCATGCTTGCTTACCTTCTCTCCATATTATCACAAATATCTCAGTTTCTCTCTAGTTTTGATCATAGGCTTTTGTTTTTTAATTCTAAAGAGATGCTATTACCTATCCAAGTGTCACTAAAAGATTAAAGATGTTATTGTCGAGAAGAACCTCAAGGGGGAGGAACCCTCCTCCCTTTCTCAGGGCAGTGTTAGAGGGCCCAAAATAGTTGATTTAGTAAATAATAAGGGAGGGGAGTATAAGAAAAGGGAATAACCCAAGCAAGCGAAACTTATGGGACCAAAATGAATGATTTAATTTTGGTTTGTTCTGCCCTTGGGATAATACATCAACACTGATAATAGAACAGTTGAGGACTACGGTTAGTTGCTGACTGTCTGGCTCTCTGTACAAATTGTGATACGTTTGTTCTGCCCTTCGGACTTGCAGTTCAGGGAGTTTTGTGAAAATGTGGTAAGGTGCAGTGCAGATATTATCAGTGTTGATGTGTTACTCTGTTATCTCATTGCCATTGATGTTACAATGACGACAAGATGTTGAAAGAGTGACTCAGCAGTTCAACTTGCCTTATTATCTTTTCTTTTAAGGGAAACTTGACTTGACAGACAATTATTAGCTATAATATTCTCTCATGCATGCATGTCATGCATCTGCCCTTCCAATTGGATTGTTTAGTGTCATTTTGTTTGTATCCATTGAAATACCTTCCCCGACTCGTCATTGGGGTTTTAACCTTGGAAAATTCCATGTCTTGTTTTGTTAGATGCTTTGATTCAAACTTGGTTGAGATCCCTGTAGAGGTGGAGACCCCTGATCACCACTATTATCACGTATGGAATCTCATGTACTTCGTTGAATGCTTTAACTTTGTCTATTTAATTTGGTAATCACTCAGAGTAGCAAATCTTGTGTTTTGTTCATGCAGCTTGCTTTCTTCACTACAAGAAAGGTAGAAGCCTTGGAGGAGCTCACTTGGGTAAGTAGGTTAGGGATTTATTAGATTATTCTTCAAGGTTATGGACGTGAGAGCTTACATAGATAGTTGTGATGGCTTGTGTAAGGTTGGACCAAGGAGGCGTGCATGTGGTTGTGCCAATAACCATGCCAGGTTTATTTGGCGGTTTATAACAATTCAGTCATTCTGTCCGATGTTCTGTTGAATCTCTCTTCACATAAAATGCATAGAGTTAATTCGAAATAAAGATAATTGAGATAGAAACATGTCTGATTTTGGGTGGTGGTGTGGCAAAATGATATTATTCACAACTTATACGTGTCACCTGGATTGTGCTTCGAAATGGAATGCACATCAGGTTAAGGGAACCATTGGGTGAATCTGATTGAACTCTGGATAGCAGTTAAGTTTTCAATCCATTAGGTAGTACATATCACATTAAAATTTGAAGAACTGGCAACTTACAAGTAGCACCATAGAGAAATAAGAATTAAAAATTACAAGAAATTAAGTTTTTTTTTTGCCATGGAATTTAAGCATGAATAGGTAAAAGAATGAGTTGCCTTAATTTAAGGGGAAAAAATAAAGGAGTTTCCTGAACTCAACTTCGGTTGCCTTCTACTTTGCTCGACTAAATTTTGCCTGAATCATCTGAAGTTGTAAAATGGGTTTATGATTTTCTCTTTGTAAAGCAGGTCAGAAAATAGACGAGCTCATATTACACGAATCAATTTTATGCATCTTGCCTATGAATGTGTTTTCCTTGTTATCGTGTATAAAACGAATTGCATCTTTCATCTGTGTTGTATCCTTATCTCATTCATATCTATGATTCTATATATTATTGCAGATAGAAAGTTGAATCTTCAACTTATAAAAACATAACAACGGTTAAGATTGATCAAATTTTCATTTACTTTGATTCAATAGTACAAAATTCATCCAAAAAAAAATATTTCTGCTCAAAAACATCAACTCAACCAACACACTTCCCAGTGTTAGACAACCTTTCTATTCCATACCTACCTCTCTCTTCTCTCTTCCTTATATCTCTCTAATTTTCTCTTCTATCTGTTCACTTTAATTTTAAACTGCATAATTGAACAAAAGAAAAAAAAGTAGATTACTTTTTGAAATATAAACAGCACAATCAATGCTCGATTTTTGGTATTATAGAGTGTCTTCAGGTTCAGGGTTATTGCTAGTTACTCGACATTAGAAAGAATCTATGGTAACACTTCAAATTTGATTGTGTTAATGAGAATTTTTTTTTTTTTTTTTGTAATTGCTTTATATGACTTTTTGTTAAGCAACTTATACATCATTTGCTTGCAGGACTATGGTATTGACTTTGATGATCATGATCACCCTGTCAAGGCATTTCGCTGCCAGTGTGGCAGCAAGTTCTGCAGGAACATTAAACGTTCAAGCAGTAAGTATTTTATTGTAACGCATGAAGTTTGTGTTGTCCTGAGATAAGAGATTTGACATTGCTTCCTTTTTTGATTGATACCATTCCCTTTTGAGTAGCTTGTATTGGTGTGCTTGCGAGTGTGCATTTATGAGTTTGTTTGCATTGCCAATTTCTATAAGTCTGTTTTGGTACTCCAAAATTGGCTATGATGTATGATTTTTGATGTTTTAGTAGTAGGTTGCTGGCTAGTGATACCAGTATGCCTAGATATTTTTGTAGAAGTTGACATTGTTCTCTCCTGAACATTCGGATTGCTAAAAACACTGCTTTTCAAATATGTTTTGTTCACATTATATTCCTTTTATAATGCATACATATACGTGACAAGCGAAGTTGGTATTGTATAATAATGGTAATGGCAGGTGGTGGCAGTTTTCCTTTAGGAAACAAAATTGCATCTTAGTAATTTTTTATTAAATGAGAATCAACAAACACGGAGAATGGCGTAAGAGTTGGGAAAGCTTATGGGTGTAGTATATGAATAATTGGGCTGAAACTTTTCGAGGCATATGTAAATGATCTGGAAACTTTAAGGGAATGTTGAGGAAACCAATGGGAGATTTGTGTAGATCAGTGTAGGCAATATGTTTGAAATGCCTAGAAAACATAGATCTACAAAAGACCTGATAGGGCTTTCTTTTCTGGCATTTTGCCCCCTTTTTGTAATTGCAGATGGACTTGCAGTTGAGAACATTTCTTTGGTTAGCTTTTGCTTGTCTCCTTTGCCAAATGGGCAATGCTGATCTTATAATCAACTAAAAACTCTAGATCTGGGAAAACTGCGTATTATGATGTGCCTTGTGGCCCCAGCCTGAGAAATTTTCAAGGTTTACACTTGGAGTACTAGACTAATGAGGCTTGCTCTTTGCGAAGTTATTTTTGTAGTCAAAGGTTAGAAATTGAGGCACATTCCTAGAGAGACTGATTTGGAAGCATTTTCCTTTGATTAGTTGTCTGATTCAACGAGAATCTGACACTAGATACATGTATTTTCTAGAAATTGGTTAGTTTTGGACCCAGAGATGGTCCTTTGCATCATTCCTTATTGTCCTTTGTCCTCTGCCATCTGAGTTTGATTACTGAATGGGCATATCTTGAGTTATGCCAAATTTTCTGAGGGAGCTAGTGTACCATGGGTGTATAGAGCAGTGGTGCATTGAGTTCTAATGCCCGGAAGATTTCATTTTTCTTCCCTCCAGATTTGTGGTCTGGAGAGAACGAATAGAACATACATGTACTGGTGCAATACACCAAGTTTTTGGCTTCTTGGTGTCTTTTTTCTTTCGTCTTCTAATTGTTTCCTTATCTTTCTTATTTTTTATTCATAAATAGATGACACAATCAGTAGAGGATATATTGTCTTTTGACTTTCAAGTTCTTGTCTTTTTTAAACCTCTTCCTATACCATATTCCATAATACTGATCCCCTCTTTGATGCTTTGACCTGAACTGATTATTCTTCTGATTTCAGTATCTTGTCAATGTCTTGTGTGTAAACCTATCAGCTAGCAATTGTGATAGCTCTGTTAGTTGTAATACAGTTATTTTTTATTGGCTCTCCTGTTTGTACCTCAGGCTTTTTTATTTTTTTTAATGAAATAGTCTATCACATTGAGAATAACAGTGAATTCTTGATAAACTCAACATAGTTGTGTTTTATTTGGTATTATCCCAATAATTCCTTTTGCATATTTTGATGCTGATTATTATTCTGTGATGCAGGGTCTAGATCTAGGAGATGAACATCTGGGGTTTCGCTAACTATTGAGGTATTTGAACGTCATGGCCTCCCCCCTCAGGAAGGAAAAGCATCGATGACACCAGTTTTCCTGGACTGGCTTTGCTCCCCCAGGCTGACACTGGAATTGACTCAGTTTTGGGTTATTGTTGAAGAATAAGAAGCTTTCTGTATGTTGTTGTACAAGCTAATGCCATGTATGTTCCATAAATGCCAAATCATTTGGGTTTGAGTTACAGATGCTGCTACCAGCCACATTGCAGGTTCCTGTAAGCAAAACCTTTTTGTTATTTAGCAATGTTTTCCTGTCTTGGATTTTCTCTATATCAGTTTTCCTTATATTCTCGCCCTCTCTCTCTCTCTCTCTCTCTCTCTCTCTCTCACACCCACACCCACCACAGAAAATGCACTCAACTAGGGTTGTCCGTGGCTGGTTGAGGCTAGGCTTGTGAAATTTTGAGTTTGGATAGGGTAAGTCTAAGCCCTTACTTGAGTGAGTTATTGGGTGGGACTGGGTGGGCTTTGGAAAGGGTAGGCTATCCGTAGTCCAACCGCCCACTCACTAGGTGAGCCTGTTGGGCAGACTTATATATATATTGTAAGGGGTAAAAATTGCTACAGATCTCATCCCTCCACTTGAAGGATTCCGGCTGACCTGACGGCACCAAGCCCCAGTAGCCTTTACCTCTCTTCGCCAATAGGACCCTTTCTTAAGGCAATCCCACATCGGAAGAGAGTCGTCTTCGCCTTTGCCATATAAGTGACCATTTTCTATGGAAGAGGTACCCACTAGCGACTTGTGTAAGGGGTAAAAATAGCTACGGATCTCATCCCTCCACTTAAAGGATTCCGACTGACTTGGCGGCACCGAGCCCCAGTAGCCTTTACCTCTCTTCGCCAATAGGACCATTGGCAATCCCACATCGGAAGAGAGTCGTCTTTCTCCCTGCCATATACCCTGCCATATAAGGTGCCTAGTGGGTACTTCCTCCATAAGAAGTGTTCACTTATATGGCAGGGGGGAAGACGACTCTCTTCCGATGTGAGATTGTCTTAGGAAAGGGTCCTATTGGCGAAGAGAGGTAAAGGCTACTGGGGCTCAGTGCCGCCAGGTCAGTCGGAATCTTTCAAGTGGAGGGATGAGATCCGTAGCTATTTCTACCCCTTATATATATATATAAAATGTCAACGAAAGCTTTTATTTAATTCAAAACTTTATGTACAAGACACTTATAGTAGTAGTAGTAGAAGGTGAAAGATGAAGGTTTGTACAAAAAAGGAGGGTTCACAGAAGGTGCACAAGAGGGGAGAAAAGGAAGGAGTAGGTGTAGGTATGAGATTCGGTGTGGGGAGGGGGCGGTGCTCCACAAGTCAGGCCTGCACCCTTATTTATAGAAGTCGGACATGAAATTTGAATTTCAAAACTATGTTATGTTATTCATAATTTTATATTGTTCACAATTTTAATAATTTTATTTAAAAAAATTTTAACTTTATATTTTTGTAAAGGAAAATGCTATTTGGATCTAAAAAATTGGCATAATTTGCTGATCTAATGATTTTACTAATGATTTTGCTTCATTGAAATCATTGGATAAACATCAAGTTCTAATGTTTGATGTAGCCCACAATTAATCCAAATGTCATAGTGAATTAGGTCAATAAATTATATCCAATAACATTGCTCTTTTGTAAATTATATTTTTGATTTAAAAGTAAAATCAAAATAGACAAAAAATAAATAATGAATAATTTTATTTATGAATAGAGGAGAAGCCTAACTTTTTTTTTTTTTAATTGAGCACTGAGTGCACCTATTTTTTTTTTTCAGAGTCATATATTGTCACTAAACTTTCAAAGTTTTAATGGTAAATTTTTTTTCAAACAATTGAATGGCTGGGTAAATGGGTTGGTTTGAGCTAGGCAGGCTCAGGGGTTGGGTGTTTGTGGGTGGGCATGAGGGTTGGGTTTTGGGTTGAGTAATAGGTTTGAGAGTAAGTCTAAGTCCTTTCTTGAAGGATATGAGATTCGGATTTAGGTGGGTCAATTTTTGGGCTTTCAGACTATTTTTGGGTTGAATAACGGGATTTGCGGGCCAACCCGATCCATAAACACCTCTGACATAATATCCATAACACCTTCAACTGTGATAATTTGGTTCTCCTCCCCCTCCCCCTCCCCCTCCAACACCACCGCCCACTCCCTCCCTCCCCCTTTGCCTGTGTCCTTGGATGAAGATTGGTTGTGTGGGAGATCCTTGAGGAAAATTTTATTGGTTTCCAAATACAGATAGTTGTACACTTCTTGGCTTAGGCTAATTACATGGATTATAGTTTATGATCTCTTTATCCACTTGAGAATGAAAAGCAATTCCATCAATCAGCTTGAAGTCCGGATTACATCACAAACACGAAAATAAGATAGCGTCAAAAATGCAAAACCCATCCTTATTAAGCAAATGATATATCACAAGTTCATATATTTCTGGTCCAAATATAGGAAGTTTACCACAATTTCTTTGACATTCAACAATAGAAAACGTCAAAGGTAATCTACAGCCAACAACTCATCAGTGTCTGATTCAGTTTTCGCAACTCGATCAGCTTCTCATCGATAAACAGCCTACTTTATATATACAAGTCATAGATGAAAATGTTTCACAGTCTCACAGTATATAATGAGGTGAAATTTCAGAAAACGACTATACACATGAGCATATACTGCACACATCTGAACTGTAACTGGAAGTCAGCTCTATGATACATAAACCTGTACATTTTTTTGGTCCAATGACAGAGAGCCCCTGTTGTGAGGTTTGGAGAGGACTTCATGCTCACAACCCGAAGGCATGATTGGTCGAATACCACCTGGATTCAGCGGGAAAAGAAATTTGTAGTAACCATCCATGGTTGCTTCGAAATTGCAAGTTTGTGCAACCTTCGGAATCTGTTCAAGAAATAAAAAACATGTGACAATCCAGCATGCAGCAGACAGAAAGCTGTGACATTCCAGTTTTATATATAGACAGATGTAGAGTTGAATGTTGGAGTAACGATAACTGTACATAACCAACCACACCCACAAAGCAATTCACAAGCAAGTGTTCTACAAGACTTGGAACATTGGACACAATGAGCAAAACAGCAAAGGCGACATGATCTATTTTGATGCATGACCATTTAACTTCACATTAGTCTATGATCTACTGCTCGTTTTGTCACATTCTAAAACAAACCAAGCAATTCCTTAAGCTTATGATCTAAATTCATTCAACCACCCATGTACTTTAATGCGCTTATAAGTCTACCAATTATACCCGGATCATATCTGTTTGTCCCCCTCCAAACAGGCACAATAAGGCTATACTATGGAATTTGGAAGGGGATAGACAGATATGACCTGGGCATACTACCAATTATTCCCGTTTGGATGAACCTTATTATTTATTACAATTGTTATTCCTCTTTTATAAAATGTTGCCACAGTAATGAAATTGAAAAGGCATTCATTGTTTTTCTTGATGTCCTTTTAATAAACACAACACACAAATACACACACACTCAGAAGACCGTCGCGCACATTGCTAGCTATCATCAGTGCACAATAATAAATATAAATAATCTACACCAGTGAATGTGCTTCAGCAAATAGTGACCATAGCTTGAGCTATTACCTGATAAATATCTCGCATATATCCATGAAGATTGGGATATTCAATCAGCTTCTTCTTTGTGCATTTGAACATGACATTGTACACAAGATCAAACCGAATCAAAGTAGTAAACAAACATATATCTGCTAAGGTCAGCACATCTCCACACAAATACCTGGAAGCACTCAAATGATCATCTATCTTGTCCAATGTGCTAAACAACTCATTCACTGCATTATCATATGCTTCTTGACTCTGTGCAAATCCACACCTAAAGAAAAAAAAAACATTCTTCACATTCTCACACACAAACTGAATATATACTTATGTTTGAAATGTAAAGTGTTATGAATTCGAAAGATAAAATGAACGGCAAAGTGAGGCGCGGACTAAGTCACTCTCTTTAGACGATTCACACTCCTTTATGGAAGAAACATAATGCAAAAGTTAGCAATGCATCATCTCCAAGATATAATGGCCAAGTCTAATTGACTGTTGTTTTACTTAGATTTGCACAATTGAATGAAACAAAAGTTTGATTCTACACATTTCTATATTGCCCAGAAAAATAAAATAGTAGTAAAGAATATAGAAGATATAGAAACAGAAGTTTTACACGACGCATTTCTCCTCCGTCTCAAGTTCTCACTTAACTTAATGACTAAATAGCACCCGCATATATATATCAAATACTTCTAAGATACTTTTCTAAGATAATTTTAGAAATTTAGTTAACGTGGAATTGAGTTTCTACATAAAAGCACACTTTTGTTAAAATACTAACATAATGTACCAATAACAATGATTACCTGTAGACTCCATTGTTGACATTGGGGTATATAATTCGATTCCATTCATCGATGTTTTCTCTCAATGATGGCGGTGAGAGGTCTAATTCCGGATTACTTGCTAATCCATTTAAACCCGAATTAAACAATTCAATGATATCATAACTCTCATTGCAAACAACTTCCTTTCTCTCTCCATCCCAAAGCATTGGCACGGTGGATCGGCCATTATACCCACCTTGCCGTAGCTTATAAACCTCCCTGAGGGCTTTACACCCATTGGCCTTATCAGAACCAGCAATAAGCTTATTCCCACTGGTGGTATTGTTATCCAGGAATACCCAAGAACCATCTATGCCAGGCGATGCAATTGAGACAGGGATGGAGTCTTCGAGACCCTTGAGTGCTCTGACGATGAGGGTCCGGTGGGCCCACGGGCAAGGAAGGCCCACGTAGAGGTGGAGGGCTGTGGGGCCCGGTGCTTTTTCTCCGGGAAATTGGTTGGGATTGGCGCGAAATAGGGAGGTGGGTCGGGTGTAACTGCCGGAGGAATCGGAGGGGGCGAGCTGAGACATCATAAGGTGCCACGCGGTGGACCAGGTGGAACGGACGGTGGAGATGAGGAGCTGGGGTGGGAGGGATTTGCCCCACAGGAGCTTGGCTACGGAGTTGAAGGGGTTGACGATTGGAGGCGGTGTTTGGTGGTTGAGTGACATTCTAGGACGGAGTTGGTGGTGTTTGGGTCTGGTTTTGGTGGTGGGTTTTGGGTTGTTGGTGGGGAAGAGAATGGCGGGGCTGAGCAGTGAAGTGGAGTACATTTTTTCCGGTTCGTTCGTTATTGAGGTCAGACCGTGACACTGATTGACATAATGGCCACTAACCAGTAAAGGTTATTTTCGTCAATTGGTAAAATTAATGGATATTCATATCCCGAGTTTAGGATTAAATTATACAAACCACCCTTAAGTTTTATATTTATTATAATTTTGTAACCAATAAATGTGAGCCGTAGGATGGCAGTAAAGCCAAACTATAAACAATTCCACAAGATATTAGGTCAACTCATAGTCAAACGCTTGATTTGGAATGAATTGTATTTTTCCCCGTTATTTAATCTTATACTCTNCCAGTATGCCTAGATATTTTTGTAGAAGTTGACATTGTTCTCTCCTGAACATTCGGATTGCTAAAAACACTGCTTTTCAAATATGTNCCAGTATGCCTAGATATTTTTGTAGAAGTTGACATTGTTCTCTCCTGAACATTCGGCATATGTGTAAAATACTATCAAAGACAATTTTTTTCTAGAAACATATTGCTAAAAACACTGCTTTTCAAATATGTTTTGTTCACATTATATTCCTTTTATAATGCATACATATACGTGACAAGCGAAGTTGGTATTGTATAATAATGGTAATGGCAGGTGGTGGCAGTTTTCCTTTAGGAAACAAAATTGCATCTTAGTAATTTTTTATTAAATGAGAATCAACAAACACGGAGAATGGCGTAAGAGTTGGGAAAGCTTATGGGTGTAGTATATGAATAATTGGGCTGAAACTTTTCGAGGCATATGTAAATGATCTGGAAACTTTAAGGGAATGTTGAGGAAACCAATGGGAGATTTGTGTAGATCAGTGTAGGCAATATGTTTGAAATGCCTAGAAAACATAGATCTACAAAAGACCTGATAGGGCTTTCTTTTCTGGCATTTTGCCCCCTTTTTGTAATTGCAGATGGACTTGCAGTTGAGAACATTTCTTTGGTTAGCTTTTGCTTGTCTCCTTTGCCAAATGGGCAATGCTGATCTTATAATCAACTAAAAACTCTAGATCTGGGAAAACTGCGTATTATGATGTGCCTTGTGGCCCCAGCCTGAGAAATTTTCAAGGTTTACACTTGGAGTACTAGACTAATGAGGCTTGCTCTTTGCGAAGTTATTTTTGTAGTCAAAGGTTAGAAATTGAGGCACATTCCTAGAGAGACTGATTTGGAAGCATTTTCCTTTGATTAGTTGTCTGATTCAACGAGAATCTGACACTAGATACATGTATTTTCTAGAAATTGGTTAGTTTTGGACCCAGAGATGGTCCTTTGCATCATTCCTTATTGTCCTTTGTCCTCTGCCATCTGAGTTTGATTACTGAATGGGCATATCTTGAGTTATGCCAAATTTTCTGAGGGAGCTAGTGTACCATGGGTGTATAGAGCAGTGGTGCATTGAGTTCTAATGCCCGGAAGATTTCATTTTTCTTCCCTCCAGATTTGTGGTCTGGAGAGAACGAATAGAACATACATGTACTGGTGCAATACACCAAGTTTTTGGCTTCTTGGTGTCTTTTTTCTTTCGTCTTCTAATTGTTTCCTTATCTTTCTTATTTTTTATTCATAAATAGATGACACAATCAGTAGAGGATATATTGTCTTTTGACTTTCAAGTTCTTGTCTTTTTTAAACCTCTTCCTATACCATATTCCATAATACTGATCCCCTCTTTGATGCTTTGACCTGAACTGATTATTCTTCTGATTTCAGTATCTTGTCAATGTCTTGTGTGTAAACCTATCAGCTAGCAATTGTGATAGCTCTGTTAGTTGTAATACAGTTATTTTTTATTGGCTCTCCTGTTTGTACCTCAGGCTTTTTTATTTTTTTTAATGAAATAGTCTATCACATTGAGAATAACAGTGAATTCTTGATAAACTCAACATAGTTGTGTTTTATTTGGTATTATCCCAATAATTCCTTTTGCATATTTTGATGCTGATTATTATTCTGTGATGCAGGGTCTAGATCTAGGAGATGAACATCTGGGGTTTCGCTAACTATTGAGGTATTTGAACGTCATGGCCTCCCCCCTCAGGAAGGAAAAGCATCGATGACACCAGTTTTCCTGGACTGGCTTTGCTCCCCCAGGCTGACACTGGAATTGACTCAGTTTTGGGTTATTGTTGAAGAATAAGAAGCTTTCTGTATGTTGTTGTACAAGCTAATGCCATGTATGTTCCATAAATGCCAAATCATTTGGGTTTGAGTTACAGATGCTGCTACCAGCCACATTGCAGGTTCCTGTAAGCAAAACCTTTTTGTTATTTAGCAATGTTTTCCTGTCTTGGATTTTCTCTATATCAGTTTTCCTTATATTCTCGCCCTCTCTCTCTCTCTCTCTCTCTCTCTCTCTCTCACACCCACACCCACCACAGAAAATGCACTCAACTAGGGTTGTCCGTGGCTGGTTGAGGCTAGGCTTGTGAAATTTTGAGTTTGGATAGGGTAAGTCTAAGCCCTTACTTGAGTGAGTTATTGGGTGGGACTGGGTGGGCTTTGGAAAGGGTAGGCTATCCGTAGTCCAACCGCCCACTCACTAGGTGAGCCTGTTGGGCAGACTTATATATATATTGTAAGGGGTAAAAATTGCTACAGATCTCATCCCTCCACTTGAAGGATTCCGGCTGACCTGACGGCACCAAGCCCCAGTAGCCTTTACCTCTCTTCGCCAATAGGACCCTTTCTTAAGGCAATCCCACATCGGAAGAGAGTCGTCTTCGCCTTTGCCATATAAGTGACCATTTTCTATGGAAGAGGTACCCACTAGCGACTTGTGTAAGGGGTAAAAATAGCTACGGATCTCATCCCTCCACTTAAAGGATTCCGACTGACTTGGCGGCACCGAGCCCCAGTAGCCTTTACCTCTCTTCGCCAATAGGACCATTGGCAATCCCACATCGGAAGAGAGTCGTCTTTCTCCCTGCCATATACCCTGCCATATAAGGTGCCTAGTGGGTACTTCCTCCATAAGAAGTGTTCACTTATATGGCAGGGGGGAAGACGACTCTCTTCCGATGTGAGATTGTCTTAGGAAAGGGTCCTATTGGCGAAGAGAGGTAAAGGCTACTGGGGCTCAGTGCCGCCAGGTCAGTCGGAATCTTTCAAGTGGAGGGATGAGATCCGTAGCTATTTCTACCCCTTATATATATATATAAAATGTCAACGAAAGCTTTTATTTAATTCAAAACTTTATGTACAAGACACTTATAGTAGTAGTAGTAGAAGGTGAAAGATGAAGGTTTGTACAAAAAAGGAGGGTTCACAGAAGGTGCACAAGAGGGGAGAAAAGGAAGGAGTAGGTGTAGGTATGAGATTCGGTGTGGGGAGGGGGCGGTGCTCCACAAGTCAGGCCTGCACCCTTATTTATAGAAGTCGGACATGAAATTTGAATTTCAAAACTATGTTATGTTATTCATAATTTTATATTGTTCACAATTTTAATAATTTTATTTAAAAAAATTTTAACTTTATATTTTTGTAAAGGAAAATGCTATTTGGATCTAAAAAATTGGCATAATTTGCTGATCTAATGATTTTACTAATGATTTTGCTTCATTGAAATCATTGGATAAACATCAAGTTCTAATGTTTGATGTAGCCCACAATTAATCCAAATGTCATAGTGAATTAGGTCAATAAATTATATCCAATAACATTGCTCTTTTGTAAATTATATTTTTGATTTAAAAGTAAAATCAAAATAGGCAAAAAATAAATAATTAATAATTTTATTTATGAATAGAGGAGAAGTCTAACTTTTTTTTTTTTTTTAATTGAGCACTGAGTGCACCTATTTTTTTTTTTCAGAGTCATATATTGTCACTAAACTTTCAAAATTGTAATGGTAAATTTTTTTTCAAACAATTGAATGGCTGGGTAAATGGGTTGGTTTGAGCTAGGCAGGCTCAGGGGTTGGGTGTTTGTGGGTGGGCATGAGGGTTGGGTTTTGGGTTGAGTAATAGGTTTGAGAGTAAGTCTAAGTCCTTTCTTGAAGGATATGAGATTCGGATTTAGGTGGGTCAATTTTTGGGCTTTCAGACTATTTTTGGGTTGAATAACGGGATTTGCGGGCCAACCCGATCCATAAACACCTCTGACATAATATCCATAACACCTTCAACTGTGATAATTTGGTTCTCCTCCCCCTCCCCCTCCCCCTCCAACACCACCGCCCACTCCCTCCCTCCCCCTTTGCCTGTGTCCTTGGATGAAGATTGGTTGTGTGGGAGATCCTTGAGGAAAATTTTATTGGTTTCCAAATACAGATAGTTGTACACTTCTTGGCTTAGGCTAATTACATGGATTATAGTTTATGATCTCTTTATCCACTTGAGAATGAAAAGCAATTCCATCAATCAGCTTGAAGTCCGGATTACATCACAAACACGAAAATAAGATAGCGTCAAAAATGCAAAACCCATCCTTATTAAGCAAATGATATATCACAAGTTCATATATTTCTGGTCCAAATATAGGAAGTTTACCACAATTTCTTTGACATTCAACAATAGAAAACGTCAAAGGTAATCTACAGCCAACAACTCATCAGTGTCTGATTCAGTTTTCGCAACTCGATCAGCTTCTCATCGATAAACAGCCTACTTTATATATACAAGTCATAGATGAAAATGTTTCACAGTCTCACAGTATATAATGAGGTGAAATTTCAGAAAACGACTATACACATGAGCATATACTGCACACATCTGAACTGTAACTGGAAGTCAGCTCTATGATACATAAACCTGTACATTTTTTTGGTCCAATGACAGAGAGCCCCTGTTGTGAGGTTTGGAGAGGACTTCATGCTCACAACCCGAAGGCATGATTGGTCGAATACCACCTGGATTCAGCGGGAAAAGAAATTTGTAGTAACCATCCATGGTTGCTTCGAAATTGCAAGTTTGTGCAACCTTCGGAATCTGTTCAAGAAATAAAAAACATGTGACAATCCAGCATGCAGCAGACAGAAAGCTGTGACATTCCAGTTTTATATATAGACAGATGTAGAGTTGAATGTTGGAGTAACGATAACTGTACATAACCAACCACACCCACAAAGCAATTCACAAGCAAGTGTTCTACAAGACTTGGAACATTGGACACAATGAGCAAAACAGCAAAGGCGACATGATCTATTTTGATGCATGACCATTTAACTTCACATTAGTCTATGATCTACTGCTCGTTTTGTCACATTCTAAAACAAACCAAGCAATTCCTTAAGCTTATGATCTAAATTCATTCAACCACCCATGTACTTTAATGCGCTTATAAGTCTACCAATTATACCCGGATCATATCTGTTTGTCCCCCTCCAAACAGGCACAATAAGGCTATACTATGGAATTTGGAAGGGGATAGACAGATATGACCTGGGCATACTACCAATTATTCCCGTTTGGATGAACCTTATTATTTATTACAATTGTTATTCCTCTTTTATAAAATGTTGCCACAGTAATGAAATTGAAAAGGCATTCATTGTTTTTCTTGATGTCCTTTTAATAAACACAACACACAAATACACACACACTCAGAAGACCGTCGCGCACATTGCTAGCTATCATCAGTGCACAATAATACATATAAATAATCTACACCAGTGAATGTGCTTCAGCAAATAGTGACCATAGCTTGAGCTATTACCTGATAAATATCTCGCATATATCCATGAAGATTGGGATATTCAATCAGCTTCTTCTTTGTGCATTTGAACATGACATTGTACACAAGATCAAACCGAATCAAAGTAGTAAACAAACATATATCTGCTAAGGTCAGCACATCTCCACACAAATACCTGGAAGCACTCAAATGATCATCTATCTTGTCCAATGTGCTAAACAACTCATTCACTGCATTATCATATGCTTCTTGACTCTGTGCAAATCCACACCTAAAGAAAAAAAAAACATTCTTCACATTCTCACACACAAACTGAATATATACTTATGTTTGAAATGTAAAGTGTTATGAATTCGAAAGATAAAATGAACGGCAAAGTAAGGCGCGGACTAAGTCACTCTCTTTAGACGATTCACACTCCTTTATGGAAGAAACATAATGCAAAAGTTAGCAATGCATCATCTCCAAGATATAATGGCCAAGTCTAATTGACTGTTGTTTTACTTAGATTTGCACAATTGAATGAAACAAAAGTTTGATTCTACACATTTCTATATTGCCCAGAAAAATAAAATAGTAGTAAAGAATATAGAAGATATAGAAACAGAAGTTTTACACGACGCATTTCTCCTCCGTCTCAAGTTCTCACTTAACTTAATGACTAAATAGCACCCGCATATATATATCAAATACTTCTAAGATACTTTTCTAAGATAATTTTAGAAATTTAGTTAACGTGGAATTGAGTTTCTACATAAAAGCACACTTTTGTTAAAATACTAACATAATGTACCAATAACAATGATTACCTGTAGACTCCATTGTTGACATTGGGGTATATAATTCGATTCCATTCATCGATGTTTTCTCTCAATGATGGCGGTGAGAGGTCTAATTCCGGATTACTTGCTAATCCATTTAAACCCGAATTAAACAATTCAATGATATCATAACTCTCATTGCAAACAACTTCCTTTCTCTCTCCATCCCAAAGCATTGGCACGGTGGATCGGCCATTATACCCACCTTGCCGTAGCTTATAAACCTCCCTGAGGGCTTTACACCCATTGGCCTTATCAGAACCAGCAATAAGCTTATTCCCACTGGTGGTATTGTTATCCAGGAATACCCAAGAACCATCTATGCCAGGCGATGCAATTGAGACAGGGATGGAGTCTTCGAGACCCTTGAGTGCTCTGACGATGAGGGTCCGGTGGGCCCACGGGCAAGGAAGGCCCACGTAGAGGTGGAGGGCTGTGGGGCCCGGTGCTTTTTCTCCGGGAAATTGGTTGGGATTGGCGCGAAATAGGGAGGTGGGTCGGGTGTAACTGCCGGAGGAATCGGAGGGGGCGAGCTGAGACATCATAAGGTGCCACGCGGTGGACCAGGTGGAACGGACGGTGGAGATGAGGAGCTGGGGTGGGAGGGATTTGCCCCACAGGAGCTTGGCTACGGAGTTGAAGGGGTTGACGATTGGAGGCGGTGTTTGGTGGTTGAGTGACATTCTAGGACGGAGTTGGTGGTGTTTGGGTCTGGTTTTGGTGGTGGGTTTTGGGTTGTTGGTGGGGAAGAGAATGGCGGGGCTGAGCAGTGAAGTGGAGTACATTTTTTCCGGTTCGTTCGTTATTGAGGTCAGACCGTGACACTGATTGACATAATGGCCACTAACCAGTAAAGGTTATTTTCGTCAATTGGTAAAATTAATGGATATTCATATCCCGAGTTTAGGATTAAATTATACAAACCACCCTTAAGTTTTATATTTATTATAATTTTGTAACCAATAAATGTGAGCCGTAGGATGGCAGTAAAGCCAAACTATAAACAATTCCACAAGATATTAGGTCAACTCATAGTCAAACGCTTGATTTGGAATGAATTGTATTTTTCCCCGTTATTTAATCTTATACTCTTTACGTCTACTCTAAATTAGCCTGAATTCTCTAATTTAATTCCACATTTATTTCTATATATAAAAAAATTAAATTAGGGGGAAAATAGAAAATTTTTCTCCTCGAATGATTAACTACTAAAGTTTAAAATATTTAATGTGTCTTATTAGAGCCACTCTCACTATTTTTTAAACAATCCAATTTTAATTTTCAATCCTTCTTTTTTTTTTAACTTTCAAACTTAGTATAATACAATTTTAACACATTCATAAATAATTGTCCAATAATAATATTAAAATTATGGATAGTCGGGGGTAAGATGACGGTAGGGAGAAATTATAATTTTCTTACATTTACATGGGCCACCCACAAAATTTTATATATTGTTGGTATTACATGTTAGCTTAAATAGTTATAAATTTTAATAATCACAAGTTTTGGGGCTTTTAGGACAATGGTTGGATTCATAACAGTTAGCATAAGAGCTGACAACATGTTATGAGTTCGAGTTATTGAAGGGATGGCCTACAAGTTGGATTAAAATGTCTTAGAATTATGTATGGTCATAGCGTTATCACGTTGAATATTGGTAAGTGAGAATAAAGCCACAAAAGAGAAATCGTTGGTAGGTGAGTGAAGTCACCAAAGAGAAAACGCTACTGTTGAGCCAGCGTCGATAGAGTTGGGCCACCATATANTACTTGCTAATCCATTTAAACCCGAATTAAACAATTCAATGATATCATAACTCTCATTGCAAACAACTTCCTTTCTCTCTCCATCCCAAAGCATTGGCACGGTGGATCGGCCATTATACCCACCTTGCCGTAGCTTATAAACCTCCCTGAGGGCTTTACACCCATTGGCCTTATCAGAACCAGCAATAAGCTTATTCCCACTGGTGGTATTGTTATCCAGGAATACCCAAGAACCATCTATGCCAGGCGATGCAATTGAGACAGGGATGGAGTCTTCGAGACCCTTGAGTGCTCTGACGATGAGGGTCCGGTGGGCCCACGGGCAAGGAAGGCCCACGTAGAGGTGGAGGGCTGTGGGGCCCGGTGCTTTTTCTCCGGGAAATTGGTTGGGATTGGCGCGAAATAGGGAGGTGGGTCGGGTGTAACTGCCGGAGGAATCGGAGGGGGCGAGCTGAGACATCATAAGGTGCCACGCGGTGGACCAGGTGGAACGGACGGTGGAGATGAGGAGCTGGGGTGGGAGGGATTTGCCCCACAGGAGCTTGGCTACGGAGTTGAAGGGGTTGACGATTGGAGGCGGTGTTTGGTGGTTGAGTGACATTCTAGGACGGAGTTGGTGGTGTTTGGGTCTGGTTTTGGTGGTGGGTTTTGGGTTGTTGGTGGGGAAGAGAATGGCGGGGCTGAGCAGTGAAGTGGAGTACATTTTTTCCGGTTCGTTCGTTATTGAGGTCAGACCGTGACACTGATTGACATAATGGCCACTAACCAGTAAAGGTTATTTTCGTCAATTGGTAAAATTAATGGATATTCATATCCCGAGTTTAGGATTAAATTATACAAACCACCCTTAAGTTTTATATTTATTATAATTTTGTAACCAATAAATGTGAGCCGTAGGATGGCAGTAAAGCCAAACTATAAACAATTCCATAAGATATTAGGTCAACTCATAGTCAAACGCTTGATTTGGAATGAATTCCCCGTTATTTAATCTTATACTTTTTACGTCTACTCTAAATTAGCCTGAATTCTCTAATTTAATTCCACATTTATTTCTATATATAAAAAAATTAAATTAGGGGAAAAATAGAAAATTTTTCTCCTCGAATGATTAACTACTAAAGTTTAAAATATTTAATGTGTCTTATTAGAGCCACTCTCACTATTTTTTAAACAATCCAATTTTAATTTTCAATCCTTCTTTTTTTTTTTTTAACTTTCAAACTTAGTATAATACAATTTTAACACATTCATAAATAATTGTCCAATAATAATATTAAAATTATAGATAGTCGGGGGTAAGATGACGGTAGGGAGAAATTATAATTTTCTTACATTTACATGGGCCACCCACAAAATTTTATATATAGTATTCAAACAAATCCTTAAATTGTTGGTATTACATGTTACCCTTAAATAGTTATAAATTTTAATAATCACAAGTTTTGGGGCTTTTAGGACAATGGTTGGATTCATAACAGTTAGCATAAGAGCTGACAGCATGTTATGAGTTCGAGTTATTGAAGGATGGTCTACAAGTTGGATTAAAATGTCTTAGAATTATACAGGGTCATAGCGTTATCACGTTGAATATTGGTAGGTGAGAATAAAGCCACAAAAGAGAAATCGTTGGTAGGTGAGTGAAGCCACCAAAGAGAAAACGCTACTGTTGAGCCAGCGTCAATAGAATTGGGCCACTATAAATGTCGATTATGGTAGATTGTTACGTTCAAATAATTATGAGCTCTAATCCCACAAGTCATGAGGTTTTTTGGAACAATGGTAGGGTTGATAACAATACAACCGTGGGGTTTCAAGATTTGTGGAACGAGGATTAATAACCTCGTAAAAAAGTAAGTACATAAAGTAAAAATATATTGAAAAATTATAAAATAAGATTGATGTTACATTTTGATTTGGTGAAATTAAAATAAAAAGGAGTTAATTTAAATATTTTAATATCAATCATAACTTGTTGATTGCAATTTAATTTTGGTACAATACAATGAACAAATTGTGGTCTAAGGCAAACAAATTGTGGGTATGTGGTTGTGGCTACTCCGAATGTAGTAGAACAAAGCTACCCATCATCCCGAATAAAAATAATTAAACCCCGGAGAGGACATAGCGGACATTATGTCCAAACACTGCTTCTCCGTTCTCAACAAAACCCTAGCTCATAAAAAACGCGTACCATATAAAACCCCAGCGCCTCCTTCAGACTTAACGGCTGGAGCGAGGAGAGAGAGACAGAGGGACAGAAGGAGAGCTGATCCACAATGTCGAAGCGAGGTACAACTCGATCTTTAGGCTTTTCTATCTCACATTTCTCGTTAAACAAACAGATTAGCACAATCTCGATCCGAGATATTATATATAACTGTATTGTTTTTCATTTTCGATCTTTCTAGGACGTGGTGGTTCCGCCGGGAACAAGTTTCGGATGTCGCTGGGTCTACCAGTCGCGGCGACGGTGAACTGTGCCGACAACACCGGAGCCAAGAACCTCTACATCATTTCGGTGAAGGGAATCAAGGGAAGGCTCAACAGGTTGCCATCGGCTTGCGTAGGAGACATGGTTATGGCTACTGTGAAGAAAGGTAAGCCTGATCTCAGGAAGAAGGTCATGCCTGCTGTTATTGTTCGTCAGCGCAAGCCCTGGCGCCGAAAGGACGGTGTCTTCATGTACTTCGAAGGTAAAAATTGTTAATTCTTTAATCTTCACGTGATTTGTTGATTTTGGTTATTATTTGTGGGTTTTCGTAGTTGCGTAATGTTGTTTTTAAGATTCATTTGGGCTAGTTTATGTCCTTATCTTGTCAGTTGCTTCTATGACAGTTTATAATGGCCAATTTCTCAACTGGTCATTTTGATCAGGAAGCATAGATAAACGAAAATGAAGCCAGTTTTAAACAGCATGATGTAATATTTTGCATTGTGTTACCTGTCTGCTGGTAAATGTCTATCATTTGTTTGTTGTTAGATATCATAGTGCATTTTTGANCAGGAAGCATAGATAAACGAAAATGAAGCCAGTTTTAAACAGCATGATGTAATATTATGCATTGTGTTACCTGTCTGCTGGTAAATGTCTATCATTTGTTTGTTGTTAGATATCATAGTGCATTTTTTACGTACATAAGCCTGCTTGGTTACATAAGCCATGCATGAGGAGTGTTTGATTATTGGTGAAAGGTCTAATTAACATGCTTACATCTGCTGATGAAATTGATTAGAATTGGACTGAAGGGTTAGGATGTTTGTCTCACTCTCCAGGTGTTGACATTTCCGCCTACTAATAGTAATAGGCAACCATGAGTCACCTTGTCAAGTTTTGATTACTCTCTGTAGCAATTTTTTTTTTATGGCCGCTTTCATCGAGGATCTCAATTGCTGGTGCATTACTACTAGCTTTTACAGGAATGCATTTAAATGATGTTAAGTTTGTAGCATACTCTTGGATATATGCTTCCTTTATTTTGTTGGATTTTTAATTATCGAAACATTTTACTTGTAACAATACTTATTATGTATTCTTATGCCATCTGAGTGTGATTTTCTTTTAATGCCTAAGGCATGAGATACCAAAATACTATCTTGTTAACATTTATGAAATGAAGAAAAATTGCTTATCAATTTTAATTTGTGAATTTGCAGATAATGCTGGCGTCATTGTGAATCCCAAAGGTGAAATGAAAGGTACATTTCAGCCTTCATATTTTGTAATATATCTCAAGCTTAGATAATGGGTTAAGATGCGAGGCTGAGATTTTTCGATTTTTATGTATCTTACAGAGAATTTTGTGTTTGATCGTTTACTGTTCAATCAGCACTGATATTTACGAACATAATAATTTAACATGCTTTTATTTCATGCTTACTTTCCTTCTCCTAAGAGGATGTCATTAGGTTATTATCAGTGTTTATAAGTTTGGTTGGGGAAACATGTGCATCTGATCAGTGTCTTGGAATCTGTTGATGTAAAAGGCTTTGACTTGAGTATGAGTTTCCAAGCCAGCATGAGTTTCTGCTAGATGGTTGTGGTTTATCATGAGCACAAAGTTGGCAGTGAATCTGCTAAGAGGCATAGCTACTTCATGCAATTATTTGATCAGCTAGGCCAACCTTTTCTATCAGTGGCCAGGGGTTTTTATTCTGATTATTTGGATTGGGTGTTACATTTACAAAACCTGGCTTCCTTGTTCATTCTTGCATGTTAATCCCATTCCTTTACTGTTTCTGATTCTTGCAATTTTTTTTCCTTTGTTGTATGTAGGATCTGCTATAACTGGTCCAATTGGGAAAGAGTGTGCTGATCTGTGGCCAAGGATTGCTAGTGCTGCCAATGCTATTGTTTAGAAGTATGAATTCCAATTTAACGGAATCCTTAGTTCTGTTGGTCTTCTAAAATTTTATGTAGTTTCTGTTGGTCTTCTAAAGTTTTCTAAGTAGATGGTTTGTTCTATGGATTGGTATTTGGTTTTTCGTATGGGATTTTTGTACAAACTAAGAGGCCACCTCTTGTTTGAGGTTTCAATTCGACTCTTAGATGGCATCCATGTATTACTTTTCTAGAAAGATATAACCATTCTTAGTATTTTGGTTTGATTTTCCTTTGTTAGTTTTTTATGGATCTGTATTTGCTTGTACAAGCTGTTTGGTTATCCTCCAAGCTGTGTGTGGTGTGTGCACTCCTCTTTTCATTCCGTGGCCAGCGTTTGTTGTGAGGTTTCATTCTAAAGTGAATAGATCCTTACTCGAGCTGCCAAAAACTGGGGGACTGTTTGTCTATTCTTTACGTACTTGTGGCATCTCCGGAAGTAAATGTTGTCTGGTGTGTGTGCCCAGCCATCCTTGCAATTCCAGATTTTAGGCTTTTCAGATGCTGTGATTAATCTTTTGGGTCTTTGCATTTATCAGGTAACTTGGTTTCAGCTGGCATCTCAGTTTAAGTTAATCGATCCTTTGAACCGGGTCTGAGGAGAAGGAGAAGGAGATTGTTATGAGATTGATAAGATTTTATTACACTGTGTTTTTAGATGGCCAGTCTCCTATTTATTTGGAGAAATTCATTTTGCTGTGTATGTAAGGGGTGATGCAGTATTGCAGTGAGAATATTATATTAATCATGATTTTACAAAAACTGTATATGAATCCACCACCACGACCACCACCACAGGTATCACCGTCACAGTACCGCACCCAAATACGACTACATTTCGTTCTAACTTGCTCTTGTATTCCAATCTTCATGCAACAAAGCTCACGACCTGGATCTACTCGACAAACACATTTACATGGGATGGTGTTTCCTGCTTTCAAAACCGAGTCTCCACTTGTCCTCGACGACCCTAGGGGGCTGTTTGGATGGTATTTTGGGACATGTTTGAATTAGTTTGTTTAAACTCTTTCAAATTCAAAATTTTTCTTTACAAATATGAGATTTAATATTAAATTTGATTCATACTCATGTTTGGTATATTTACAGATATATTAATATATTTGTATATAAATAATTATTGTGTCCCTTCACCAATTTAATCTAAAACAATGTCCATATACGTATGAGATATAATTGTTTTTTGTATCTGAAATTCGTTAACCCTCATCCAAAATTCATTCCTATGGGTTTGATGAAACTTAAGATCTAGGGTTTAAGGTCCGAGCCAATAATAGGCCGAGTTTGGTAACTCAAGCTTCAAATTTTTGATCAAACATGAGTTTTGTGAATCATTTAGATTATTTTTCCTCAACTCGTCGTCCAAACCACCCCCTCACCCACCCTCACACACACACACACACACCAAAATCTGCCTTACCAAACAGTCCCCACGGTCCTAGACCTCCGTGGCTTTTTCGAACCGTAACATCTTTGACCCAACTAATACCATGTCCCAACAGCCGCCTCTCTAGTCCCATCCCAAACTTGTCAAATTTCTCCCCAGTGACAACTATTTTTTTGGCCGACAACGAATTTTTCGGCGAATTGTACAGTAAATGTAATATTTCTAGCAAATTGTTGCCCATTTCGNACTATTTTTTTGGCCGACAACGAATTTTTCGGCGAATTGTACAGTAAATGTAATATTTCTAGCAAACTGTTGCCCATTTCGTTTATTGTGCTGTGCTGATGTTACAGGGTTTTTTTTTTTTTTTTTTTTGGTGCGGGGGGAAGGGGGTGGGTGGGCCATCATTCTTTGGAAAGAAATATAGAAATCTCTGTGTAAGGGTGTTCAAATTTTCGATTGATCGCAATTTTCTACCCGACTCTACCCTACGCTACTGAACTGCTAACCACAAAAATTGGGTAAGAATGTAAAAGAGTTTTTGGTCTAAATCGGATAGGAATGCGATATACCCATCAATTTTCGCATTTCTTTCCAACCTTNTCTACCCGACTCTACCCTACGCTACTGAACTGCTAACCGCAAAAATCGGGTAAGAATGTAAAATAGTTTTTGGTCTAAATCGGGTAGGAATGCGATATACCCATCAATTTTCGCATTCCTTTCCAACTCTACCTGCAAATAATATATTTAACTTTTTTATATTTTTTTAGTAATTATAAGAGTATTTGTGTGGTATAATATATATTATAACATTGTTATTGTTGTGGATGTTTGAGTTGCGAAAATATAAATTTGTTTGTTATGTAGGTTTAATGATTTGTGGTGAACTAGTGAATTATTTGAACAATTATGATTTTAATGTGTTTCATATGGTTTAAACTTAAAATAATTGTTTTTATTTGTGTAATAATTATAATGGATTGATGTTCGTACTTTCTTATGTTTTATTGTAATTGTTGTTGTAGTTGTTTTAGGTTTTAGTGTTATTGATTTATTGTGTTGTTAAATTAGTGCATGTTATTTAATTAAATTGTTAAAATGATCCAAATATTAATAGCCACAAAAGCGTTTACCCGATTATTCGGGTAGGAAGTTAGGTAGAAATACCACACCTAGTTGGGTATGATAGGCCAAAAAAAAAATTATTTCACAAAATATCAGATAGGAAGACGAAACACAATATTTCGTACCCGTTTGANTATTGTGTTGTTAAATTAGTGCATGTTATTTAATTAAATTGTTAAAATGATCCAAACATTAGTAGCCACAAAAGCGTTTACCCGATTATTCGGGTAGGAAATTAGGTAGAAATACCACACCTGATTGGGTATGATAGGCCAAGAAAAAAAATATTTCACAAAATATTAGGTAGGAAGACGAAACACAATATTTCGTACCCGTTTCATAGGGTGAACACCCCTATCTGTGTGGTATTCTGCTACAATCTAAGCATATTAATTTAAGACTGAATCACCTTAAAGGTAAAACGTTTTCTAAAATATTAGTTTTTTTTAACCTCATAAAAGTGTATCTCTTTTGAAAAATAAAATAATTTTTTTTCCATTTTTTGGGTTTTTGACTAATGAGAGTAAACTACACTTGACACTTAAACCATATCATTTGTGTTGATTAAGTATCTAAATTATATAATTTGACTCAATATGATATTTTTATCTAAATTTATTGTTAATTTTAACGGACCACCTCACGTGTGTGTTCTTAATTACTGTAATCACTGACTCTCATGTGCTATGCACGTAAGAATTTTTGTTAAAATTAATTGTGAATTTACACACAAAGGGTCTATTGAATCAAATTGTATAGTTAAAGGGATGAATTGAGATAAAAATTAATTCAGAGACTGAATTAAAACAAATAATATAGTTTAGGGGCCATTTGTGTAGTTAATTCTCAAAATAATAAGAGCGCAAGAGGGGTATTTTGGGAATTTAGCGTTAATTGCCGAGGCGGCAAAACTATATGCTTTTCGATAAATTCCGGTTTCATCCAGATGAGTTCAATCTTTCTTCGCTTCAGAGTTCAGAGTACCCATCTTCATCAAACCCGAAATCGCATTGGGCAGAACCTCTTTCGAGTGACGAATATGGGTTGGTCTCACCCAGACATATCCCTTGAAGATCTGTTGAAGCTGATCAAAGGGTTTGTAGATATCTTGATTCTGGCTTCTGGGTATCAGTCATCTGGTCATCTTGCACATTGGGATGCGCTAAACATCAAGAAAGCCTTAGAATGGGGTCTCTTCTTTGAGAATGTGAGCAATGCATACACCTAGTGCGTTTTCTTGTTCATATATCTGTATGTATAAAAAAGATATTCAAGATTCGCTTGTAGAATGACGAGGTTGGTCTTGGGGTCTGTCACTTGTGTATTTGGTATCTATTTGTTCTTCACTGTCATGTCGTTTTGTTCTTTTTTTTTTTCCCTTTCCTATAATCGTGAGTATTTGTTGAAAAATATAGTTTGTAGCGTGAAAGGGAAGACGGAGAAAGAGATTTGCTGGGAATATCTGTTGGTCTCAACCGAAATCGCATTGGGTAGGGCCTCTTCTTAGTGAAGTATATGGCTTGGTCTCACCCTGACTTATCCCTTGAAGATCTGTTGAAACTGCTCAGAGGGTTTGTAGGTATCTTGATTCTTGCCTCTGGGTATCAATCATCTGGTCATTTTACCCATTAGGATGCCCAAAACATCAAGAAGGCCTTTGAATGGGGTCTCTTCTTTGGGAATGCGAACCACACGTACGTTTAGTGTTTGTTAAGTTGTTCATATATCTATATGTATAAAAAAGACACTCAAGATTTGCTTGTACAATGACGAGGTTGATCTCAGGGTCTGTCACTTGTGTATTTGGTATCTGTTTATTCTTCATTACCATGTTTTGCCTTTTGTTTTTCTATAAACATGAGTATCTGTTGAAAAATATGGTTTGCAGTGTCGACTTGATTTTTATGACATTTACCTATTTTTTGTTTTTCCGGAATTTTGATTCCTCTCCATGTTAGACGTACTTGTGTTGCAGGCAGGACTTTTTTGATTGAATACCCTCTAATAGGAAGTTTATAAGCACCTCAAGTTTCAGGGAATAGATCATTTGAAGGTTAACCCAGTGATGGATACCCCGAGGCTGTCCACATTTCTGATTCAAACTTGTCTACATTCTGACAAAATTCGTGAATCATAGATTATGTTTTCTTTGTGTTGTTGATGCTAAGGGAATTAGAATCTAGGCTTCCAACTCCTTTTAAATCATGTCCATGGCGTCGGTAACCTCCTTTTTTCTAACTGTATTATTGATAAACACGAACCTCTCTCTGATATTGTGACATGTTACTAATCTAACTACAACGATAGATTAGGTTATTAAATTAGGTGGAAGTAGCATTACTCTATCTCAATACTTTGGCAAAATTGAATTTATTTGTAATTCTCTTAGAGGGAATTATTTGAATGCTCTTTCATAATTGTTGAAAGGAAACTGTTCTTTTATTTTCTCAAGCAAATCATTATTTTTTAGGTTACATATTTTTACTCTCCAAAAACACTGGATTTTCAATAATTAGCTTCAGTAAATTATTTGTCATATGACACTTCTTTCATCTGAAGTTTGTGATGTGTTGCTCTAAATAAGAGCATTTGCTATTGTCTGTCCATATTAAAAAATTGTAGTTTGTACAAGTGATTATTAGCATTAGTGGCCGCAGAACCTTTAGAGATGGACAAAGTGGACAGGCAATTTATTAATTCTGACTTTTTCCATTAGTATTCCATGCTAAATCATTCTGATTTTTGATGATAAAATGAATGAAGCTGCGACCATGCATAATACTTCTGTTTTTATATAGCTTATCCATTCTAATTGGGCAGTTGCTTGAAGATCAATGATTACCTGTATATTTATTGGCCAGCTCCATCAAATCCTTGGGATGTCTAGCTTCCTTTTTTTTTTCCCTGCTATTTATTGATTTTAAACTTTGCTTTCAAGGATATATGATTTAGTTAATATTTTCATTTGGTTTTAAGGTTCCATTGTATGCAGCAATTCCTTTATCTACAGTGAGGGTGCTATCATCAATGTTTCATCTGGTTATTATGTTTAGGTGTTTAAGCGCTTGGGCTGCTCAGGTGATTACCAAGACTCAATAGAGGAGGTTGATGCAGCTTTATGTAAAATGACATCAAATCCGTACTTCCCTCAGGTAAGGGATTTTTCATATTCTTTTTGTTGTGACAGAAGTTTATCTGTTTTTCCTGTAGTCAAAATTTTCTTTGTTCCAAAATTCTTTTGTTAACTTCTATTTGACTGCCATGTCATCCCATCAAAAAGCAGGGTCTTGCACATCTATCATCTGCCACTCTTGGTAGAGCACGAAATTTCATATCAGAACATCTGATCTGTACGTTACCCCTGAGAGAGACACATCTTAGAGCTTTTTTGAAATCTACTATTGAGTTGGATCTTGATCAGCTTAGTAGGACAGAAAGCGATTGTCTTCATGTATATCTTCAGAAGATGAAGCAGAATACCTTACTAAACCCAAGTTTAGCTTGGAGGTGCTACATGGAGGACACAACAACTTCATCTTCAGACATTTCCAACAGAAGGAAAGCTGAGAATTGCATTGATGGTGATTGTACAGTGTTTACTATACAAGAACTCATGAGGCGACAGGTAGCAGTATCTTGCATAACCTCAGCAGAGACATGCTTGGATACTCTCTCTAAGATCATAATACAAAGCAACTGGACTGAGCCTTGCGACAGCTTATTTAGAGAACATCTAAAGCATGCCACAGCTCCAATGTAAGTAGTATTCGTACTGGATTGTGCATGGTTTGTTACTGGGGCTTCCAAATTGGAAACCATGTGAAGTTTAGAATTTCTTTTATTGAGAGTTGAAACCCGAAATTTGCAGTGAAGATATACCAGTGTTTGCTGTGCGAGCTGAAAGGTTCCCATAATGTTTGGAGGGCAGGGGCCACATATACAAACAAACCTTACCCCTATCTGCAATCATACAAGCTTTTAATAGGAAATATTTTGGTTTTCGGTTATCCAGTCAATTAATCAAACCGGGGCTGGGAAGTGAAAATGAAAGGGAAAACTGGAGAAGCCACTAAATTGAACGCTTGGCTCGCCCGGCGTAACTCTAATTTAGGAGAAAAAGTGATTAGAGCTCATAAGCCCATTTAGAGATTGGAGCAAGTACCACATGAGCTCGTAGGTTTTATCAATACAATGGGTTGCATTATTGCTTAGGAAATTATTAACATTTTTTCTATACTTTGATCTGTACATAATATTTTGATATATATGGACAATTAGAAACATGTATAATTAATAATTAGATGACTGTATCGTTCACAAAACCTTGATTGGTCCTGTAAGTTTCTTATATTTGTACCTGCACACAGATACCTTCCTCTCATTCCTGTAATTGTCTTAGATACCATATTGCATAAATTATTAAATGAACACTGTCTTCTATGATTTCTAGAAGCCAGCTTTACTTGTAGCTGCTGAGCAATTTTGTTTAAAATTAGTTAAATGGTGTTTCAAGCAATCCTGGTTCTAGAACTATATTAGCTGCCACTTGGTTTCAAACAATCATACTTCTATTCTTGAATATCTTGGTGGAATTGGCTGTAGTATTGGGTTTTATTTTGTTGAAAGACCAAAATGGTGGTGGGGGAAAGGTTTACTTGTGTAATTCCTAACTTAATGGCTCGACCATCAAACTTTTTAACGATTGTGAGCCCCCCTTCCCCATTGTCTCTCTTTCTCCTCCCTATAGTTCATTCTGGCTCATGCATTTGTGTGGCATTTTGCTCGTATCCTAATTGATATGATGATAGTTAATCTGAAGTGGTAACAGTGGTTGTTCACTAAGTTGTGTCTTTTCATGGATATGTAGAATGTGATCTTTGTATGAACTGGTTCAGTGTACTTTCATAAAAGTAACTGCCACAAATTCTGAGTTAGCATCACTGTCTTCATTATTTTCAGTCTTAATTATTGTTGATTGTTGAGCTATTGATGCTATCTCGTTTTTGAAATACTGAAATGAAAAGACTGGTTTCACTTGGGAAGTAATTGCATCTTTCAGGAGGACTTTTGTGATTATGCCTGAAGCTTTGAGCTAACATTTTGGCTTTTGCAATTAGGACCGAGGAGCAGTTGTTTGAGTCTGTCATGTGGAACCATTGGAGAACAAAGAACCTCTCATATTTGCTTGACAAGAGAACTATTAGACTGGTCTCAGGTGCAAGAATGATATTTTCTGCCCCTAAGATACAATGGGTACAAGTGTTTGAACGGTTAGACGTTTCAGCAGGAGCTAGTGACGACAATTTGAGTGAAACAATGGTATGTTGGTTCAAGTTTCCTTGTCTGCCTATCATTTCATTTGATTCCACTTTACATATAGAGAAGAATTATATGGATCTGGAAATGTGAGTTTGCATATAGTTTATAACTTTTGACATTTATGGTGCCATAAATCTGAATATATGCTTCATACATTGGGCTATGTGATACTTCCATCTGTACGTACATGTGCATGAATGTGCTTTATTTTTGCAATACACTTGCGTTGTATTAGGCATTAAACAAGTGAATTTAGAATGAGCGTATGGTATCTTTTTAATTTAAATGTTTGATTCCAGGTTTCTACATGTATGCTTAGGCATCACTTCACAAAATAATAGATAGAATAGTAGACTACCATTATACGTTTCTATGGAGTTGAGAACTTATTGGTAGGTCAAATCTTGTCCATAGTGCCCAGGATGACATTCATCTAGATTGTTAGGTAGGCAAGATCATTAATTGCAAGTTAGTATAATGCAGGAGCATCCAAGGTGGATGGAGCCTTCACTTGAGCTGTGGAGAATTTGGTTTGACCTGTTGATTTCACTTTTCAGATATTAACTCTTTCTGTATCCTTTTGTTAAACCTGTGTTATGACAGGAACTTTTGTTACTAGGATGTGCTGCAAGCAAGTGGAGTTCTCTCATTGAACATTTCATGTTAGTTTCTTTTAATTCCCTCACCATCTCAACCCAATACCACGATGTCCGCAACGTCCTCCAAGGGAGATTTCAAGATCTTCATTCTACAGAGGAAATTCTTAACTCAAAGGTATTTTTTGACCTTCAAATCTATCTGTTTATGTGTGTGCCTGTCATCTGATACAAACATTTATGCTCTATTCGGTAGTATAGGAGGGAAAAGAAAAGAAAGGACTTTGAAGAGAGTAGAAAAAAAGGAGAGAATATGGTTATCATTCCTCCTGCTGTTTGGGAGTTTTTTGAGACAAATGATGGTTTGTGGCAATCCATTCCCATGTTTGAGACTTTTTTGAATGTAGAAGGGCTATTGTTTTTTCTAAAACCATGATTGCATTTAATTGCAATGTTCTTTTACACTAGGGATCGTGCACCCATGTTACCGGCAGACAGGTAGGAAGAAGGAGAAAGAATGGAAGGAGGTTAGAACATATAAATCTAGGTGGTTATGGGAGGTATGAGTGGTTAAGTGTAGTTGATAATGCAAGAAAAGAAGAAGTTATGTATGATGAAAGTAATTTAATGAGGGATATTATAGACATTTCTTAGGTGTTAGGTGGACACCAAACTCAACCTTCTTCTTTTATTAATAGTCCAAGTAGTTTAATCTGTTTTTTTTTTCCTTCCAGTTTATCATATTCCTTGCTTTCTCGCCCTGCTTTCTCTGTTTGTCTAGAATGGGCTCTATATTAGGGGAAATGGAAGACCCAAAAGTGACGTATTTTGAGATAGTAAAGAGAAAATGTTAGATAATTGTTTGAAAAGGTTATGGCCTTGGATATGCTGGGAGAGACTGATCCCAAGTAGCTTGCATGAGGTTTTGTTGAAAATTACACCAGAATTAATATCGGGAAGGCACTTTGATTGGATACATAATTTTACTGGTCACTTTGAAATATAATTAACATGAGTGTTGATATGTACTCAATCCATTACAGAGCTACCAATTGAATTTCTATTGACTTCATGTATTTGCACCAGTATTTGTTTTCATCTCACTGCAAATGATGGTCATATGGATATTATATGTGGCTAGCATACTTTTTCCAATGCTGAGGACGGTTGCATTGTAATTTAATAGGAGGATTATGCCAGAATAAGGATTAGACATAACATATATAGAGTTTTAGGGTTTATTTTTAGCACTTTGTGGTATTATTGGTTTATTTATGTATTGTGATGTGCAAATATATGCCTCTACTCTGAAGAGCATTGATCGTATACTGTGCTTAGATGGTCCTTTATTTTTATTATGGATTGTAAATCATTTCAATTCTGATGGTTGAACTAGGAAAAAGATATTCTTGAGTGTCTGGAGGGGCTGTTAGGCAGTCAAATTCATCAGTTGTGGAACCTACCCTCTGCACTTGCAGCAATTGCAATTCCTTCATGGTACACAATTCATTTTATGGTGATTTAGGATATCCTGTGGACAATGAACACCTCCATTTCTGTTAGAAAGAATATGATAATGGTGGTTGTATTGTAGAAACATCTGCCAATATATTTGTGCAGTTCACTTTTCTGGACTTGTTTTACTATAGGTGACTTTGTTTCTACGTTATCCCGGTGATCATGGTGATGTTTCTGTGTGGCACAATATGCTGCTTCACTTTCCATTGGTTTTGAACAAGTTTAACTTAAAGTAACCTATCCAAGCTTTCAGTATAGTCATTGACAGCTTTGCGCCGGCTTGTTTATGAAATCTAAGATTGGGACATATTGTCTTGCAGGTCAAAGTTGTTTAGATTGTATCTGAGTGAAATAGAGAGTAAATTCCGAGGAGATTCTTCAACAGTTAGGTATTGAATCTTTATATGCTTTTCTCATTGTCATTGTGTTGGTTATGAACTTATTTGATTTATTCTGTTAACCATTATTATTATTATTATTTCTGCAGATGCTGCAGTTGTATTGAAGATGGGAAGGAGCACAGAGACTGTAGGTTCACGGAGCTCTCTCTCTCTCTTTCTTTGTGTGTGTATGGGTGGGTGTGGGTGGGTAGATGGACATCTGCTTGTCTTAAATTTTATTTTGCACTGCTAAATGCATGAATTATATTAGTATTATTTATTGGTCGAAAGCCTTTACTTGTGATCTGTCCTTAGCTTGTTGACAATGAAATAGAATAGCAAGAAGAAAATAGATGTATGTTGTTGAATTTNGCAGCAATTGCAATTCCTTCATGGTACACAATTCATTTTATGGTGATTTAGGATATCCTGTGGACAATGAACACCTCCATTTCTGTTAGAAAGAATATGATAATGGTGGTTGTATTGTAGAAACATCTGCCAATATATTTGTGCAGTTCACTTTTCTGGACTTGTTTTACTATAGGTGACTTTGTTTCTACGTTATCCCGGTGATCATGGTGATGTTTCTGTGTGGCACAATATGCTGCTTCACTTTCCATTGGTTTTGAACAAGTTTAACTTAAAGTAACCTATCCAAGCTTTCAGTATAGTCATTGACAGCTTTGCGCCGGCTTGTTTATGAAATCTAAGATTGGGACATATTGTCTTGCAGGTCAAAGTTGTTTAGATTGTATCTGAGTGAAATAGAGAGTAAATTCCGAGGAGATTCTTCAACAGTTAGGTATTGAATCTTTATATGCTTTTCTCATTGTCATTGTGTTGGTTATGAACTTATTGATTTATTCTGTTAACCATTATTATTATTATTATTTCTGCAGATGCTGCAGTTGTATTGAAGATGGGAAGGAGCACAGAGACTGTAGGTTCACGGAGCTCTCTCTCTCTCTTTCTTTGTGTGTGTATGGGTGGGTGTGGGTGGGTAGATGGACATCTGCTTGTCTTAAATTTTATTTTGCACTGCTAAATGCATGAATTATATTAGTATTATTTATTGGTCGAAAGCCTTTACTTGTGATCTGTCCTTAGCTTGTTGACAATGAAATAGAATAGCAAGAAGAAAATAGATGTATGTTGTTGAATTTTTCACCAACATGATGTTAGACAGACTGCAATTTCACAGTTTTATTATGTTCTTGGTGGATCAGAGATGCTGAGAAAAAACTTCTTTTGATAAAACTAAAAGTCAACATTCATTTTATTTGGTCTAAAATAGAGGACACTACTTCCTCTTGGTAATTGCTTATTATTATAGTTGGCACTTTATTTGGTCTAAAACAGAGGACACTACCTACTCTTGATAATTGCTTTTTTATTATATTTGGACCTTTAAATGATCAATTACATCTTATCTATGCTATTAGTTATTTTGGAGACGAAGTTCTGCAGAATGGAGCAACTGAATAAATGCACTTTTCTCAGACGTGTTACGTTGTGCAGTACATCTTTGTGTGAATGGAACTGACAAGTTCACCTAAACTGATGTTGATTGTTCTTTACATCATAAATTCTAGATGCAACAAATCCTATGTGCTGGGGCACATCACTATATAATTGAAACGATAAGCTATATACCTTCTATATCTTTTGTTGTATTGATTGCCTAAATGTTCAGGTGTACCAAAGTTTATTCTTGTTCCATTCTCTATATATGAATCTCACTGGTACATGTATTTGTTTTAAGTATTAATAAGGCTGCTTTTAACTAATGACATAGTTTGTATTTATTGTCTACTCCCAGGTGAGGTTGCTGAAAGGATTTGGTGCCTCCACATCTTTCATGGCTGTGGCTCCCAGATATCATGTGGAGCTAAATGCGCTTGACAGTTGCACCTCACCATGGCAGTCTCTGGTAAGAAAATAAACTAAATCTTTCTGGTGGTTTGATGAAAGACATGGATTAAGGATGACTTTTTCTTGAGGGACATCTATCTAATAAGGCAGCTAGGATCTTAGATAAGGCACAAATAAAGTGCCCNGTCTACTCCCAGGTGAGGTTGCTGAAAGGATTTGGTGCCTCCACATCTTTCATGGCCGTGGCTCCCAGATATCATGTGGAGCTAAATGCGCTTGACAGTTGCACCTCACCATGGTAGTCTCTGGTAAGAAAATAAACTAAATCTTTCTGGTGCTTTGATGAAAGACATGGATTAAGGATGACTTTTTCTTGGGTCTTGGCTCTAATGGGGAAGGATTAGGCTGGAAATTTAGGTAGATTTAAAATCAGTTCTTATTGTTAATTTTGATCAATCATAGAAATGTAAGAGAAAGAAGAAGAGAATATTATTAGGGCACAATAAACCAGAACAACATTAAAGGAAAACTACATATAAGAGATCTTTATATGGTAGGGCAAAAGGAAAACAAACAGACTAAGTTAGGACAACATACANAGAACAACATTAAAGGAAAACTACATATAAGAGATCTTTATATAGTAGGGCAAAAGGAAAACAAACAGACTAAGTTAGGGCAACATAAAAGAAAACAAATAACTACTCTGACACTTATCTCAGAGAATAGTTTTGAAAACAGCTTGTAAACTCAATAGATGACCTGTTTGTTTTAAATATCCGCTGTATGGTGTACATTATTGGAAAAGGGTGGGTAGGGTATAGTCAGTTGCAGGTGAACTGTGGCACATCTAACAAATACTTTTTTTGAACAAGGATAGGTGACAGACAGTAAAGATAAAGAACTCCCATATGATGATTGTAAGAACAGATGGGGATGTCGTCTGAAGTACAGACAACGTGCACCATGCTAAGTGAATGGGGTCCAGTGGCACCTGGCCATTATCTGATCAGATTTCAGAAATGGATTTATTTATGCCAAGACAAAAAGTGCATATCCCTACTCGAGTAGCTTGTCCATAATTTCACAATACGCGAGCTCATCTCCATGGAGTGTTTTAATCACTACACTATAAAAGTGGATTAAAAGGGAAAGGGGAGTGATCACTAAATATTACATATTTTTGTTTTATGCTTAAATCAGAAGCAGAGAAGTGAAAGGACGTTTACTGATTATATAACAAACGAAAGGCATGTATACTAATTCATATATATTTGTACTTATATACATGTGATTATGTTTGTAGGAATGAAACGAATGCGGCCAAGAAATGGCTAAAAATATTTTTTTCCTTTGCTTTTCTTGGCTTTTGAAGTACTGTTTTTCGGTGCAAATCACATGCTCTTTTTTATTTTTGAAAAAATTCAAAAATACAAGAAATCAATTTTAAAGAAGCGTTATGAAATGGTTTGGTATCTATGATAAACAAGGATATTTTCATCAAATGTGAGTTGAGTAAAGAAGTAGTTTGATACTGCCTTTAGAAATTAGGAGAGGATGGAATAATGCCTGAACAACACCACAGAAGGTTTAGGGTATTTGAGTTGTATAACCAACAATCAAAAATATCTGAACATTTAAATGAAAATGACTCTTGAAAAGCAATTATAGCTTTTGCATCGAACAAACTCAGTTCACCCTCTCCTATGGTAATAATATACGAGTATGTTATAGATTGTGCAGCTTTAGCGCATTAGGTGGTTGCATTATATGCCGAGACGTAGGTTCTTTGTAGTCTGGATTGATATAGGTTCAATATATGGTATTATATTTTCTCGAAAAATCTGCATATCTACCTCCTTCCTTGAAGTGCTTCTGTTTCTTTTCTTTATAATTGAGAATCTTATAATTTCTCAATGGTCCCTGTAACTTATTCGTTGTTAAGAGTATTAGGGTAGTATATGTAAATTGTTAATTGTTAATAGTGTTAGGGTATTGTGTGTAAATACAAGAGGGTGTGTATTTTTAATTCTTATTATTATGAGTTACCTATAAATACAAGTGATGTATATGAGGGATAAGTTAAGTTTTTAACCTCTATCTGTTTCTCTATAATAGTGTGTTAATCTTTTACACTTAACATGGTATCAGAACAGTTACGATTATAAATATATATTCTGAATAAATTAATTAATTTTGTTGGTGGTGGTTGTTTGTCGAAGCATCGTAGTGGTGGTGATACTGTTGTCGTGGTTGATCTCTGTGCTGTGGAGGTTGCTGTCGTAGTGGTGGCAATTGACTTGGTGGTGTTGTGTTGTGGAGGTGTTGCTGTTAGGGATGCAACTTGGGCGGGCTAACTCGATTTCAACTTGAGCCCAACCCAAAAAAAATAGGGCTTGGTTTGGGGCTTTTAATACTTGGGTTGGGCTTGGGTCAAAAAATTCCAATTCGAATTCAATTTGGGCGGGCTTAGGGTTAACCCCTAGGGTTCCACTATTGAACCCGAATATTCATAACCGTAAAAATACATTTTTAAGTTTAGGGTTAATCTGTTATAAAGTCTTCATTGTGCACCTCCCTCACTCACTATTTAAATAGTGAACTCTATGTTTGTACAAGAATTATGGTTGTGGTTGCATTATCTCAAACATCGAGTTCTTAATATTATGGTTTTTATGTTAAAAACTTGATTGAAGTTGTTAGTTGTTAATTTAGGTGAATATTATGTAACATATGTATTAGGTTTAGAACAAGTCTATTTTGGTCTCAACCCGAATTCAACCCTGAAAGTAATCGAAAATCATTAACTCGAATTCAACCCGAGCCCGCCTAACAGTGCTCAGGTTGAGTCCCTTAACCCGAGGTAGGGTTAGGGTTAGGGTTAGTATTGAAGATTATATACATAGGGTTAGGTTAGGGGTTGATTGTCCAACCCGCCCAATAGTCGACGTTGGTGCAGTCGACTTGGTGGCGCCTTGTCTTCGTCGTGGTATGTGGTGGCTGTGGTGATGTTGTTGTTGTCTAAGTGTGGTGTGTGGTGTTGTCGAACCTGAGGGTTCTCTTGGAACCCTAATCAGCTAGCGAAGAAAAAGGGATCTAACCCATGGAGTCGGGTCTGGATTAGATTGGGTCAAGCCAGGGTCTTAAATTTTTTTTAAGTCCAATCTCGGTCCAACTCACGGACCAGCCCACGGTTCAGGCCGATTTAGCAGTCCAGAGAGCCCAACCCATCCAGTTCAGTTTTTTAGCCCGGTTTAGTATTCCAGCAGGTCCAATTGGTTCGGTTCAATGGTCCAACCATTATTTCCAGCATGGTTCAGTATTCTAGCAGGTGTAACTGGTCTGGTTCAGTTGGTCTAGCACTTATTTCCAGCCCGGCTCAGTATTCTAGCTACTTCCTTTCCTCTAGTTCAGTCCTCCAGTAGCTTTCTTTCCTCCAGTTTAACATTGCAACACTTCTTATTTGCTATTTGCTACACTATTATGGAACCCAAGCAAGATACCATGTCACTTACTCTATCTTTGCCTCCTCTTACTCTTATTAATGGTCCTATGACCTTTGTCAAACTCAATGGGACTAATTACACTTTATGGTCCCGATCTGTTCAAGTTTTTTTTGAGGCAAAGGATTTAAGAATTATTTGGTGGATCCTAAACCTAAGGAAGACACTCCTGGGTATGATCAGTGGGAACAAGAGGATGCTTAGATTATCTCTTTATTGTTGAATAACATTGAGCTTAATATTAGCTCTTTGCTGCTCTATTTTGATACTATCAAAGAGATATGGGATCACTTGGCCATTATGTATTCTAGTACAGGTAATTTTACTTGTTCGCATGAGGTGTGCAAGGAGTACTTCTGGTTGGAGCAGGGTACTCTGAGCCTTGCAGATTATTACTCTGACATTTAGGGAGTCTATGAGGAGATGAAGACCTATCATCTGTTTACTACTGATACAACAGTTTGACAGAAATAACATGAGGACCTGAATGTTGTTAGGTTTTTGGTAGGATTGAAACCTGAATATGAGGCTATTCGTTTTTAGATTTTGGGTGATTCTAGTCTTCCATCACTACTTGAGGTTTTCTCTCGTTTACAGTATGTTTCATTGTCTACTTCTTCAGGCATTGATCATGGTGTCTCCACTGATCGCTCAGCTCTTGTAGTTCCTAGCAGCCATAGTGATGGTCATCGAGGTGGACGTGGTGGTCGAGGAGGTCGTACAGGAGGTCGTACGAGTGGTTGTGGGGGCCGTAGTGGATCTCGTTCCTATACTCTGTTGGGATTTACAAGAAAAATCTTCTGGTGTTGCTAATCAGGCTTCTTATCAGGATGACACCTCGGTTGTTGCTTCTATACCTCGGTCAGCTCCACCAGACACTGGGTCAGTTACTATTACACTGGGTCGAGAGGTGTATGCCCAGTTCCAGTCCCAGCAACAGGCTGTTCCATCTCCCTCCATTGCTATTTTTGCACAGTCAGGTACTATTTCCACTTGTTTATTGTCCTCCACCAACAGTCCCTGGATTATAGACTCTGGCATTTCTGACCACATGACTGGTGTATTTGATGTTTTTTCTATTTATTAGTCGGCTATTTTCATACGTAGTGTTATTCTTACTAATGATACTTGTTCTAAAGTTTCAAGTTTGGGGACTACTCATTTGAGTCCTGATATGTCCGTATCATCCATGTTATTTGTTCCTCAGTTTTTTTTTTAGTTTATTTTCTATTAGTAAGATTATTCGTTCTCTCAATTGTTCTGTAACCTTTTATCTTTTATTGTCTTTCAAGATCTCAAGACGAAGAGAAAGATTGGTACAGGACGTGAAACTGGTGGCCTATATTACTTTGATTTTGATTCACCTACTCGGGCTCTATAGACCTAGTTGTCTCTTTTTCAATGGCATTGTCGTCTTGGACATCTCTCTCTCCAAAATTTGAAGCACCAAGTTTCCAATCTTAGTTGTGTGTTGTCTTTGTCTTGTGAAGCTTGTTAACTTAGTAAGCATCACCGTGTGTCATTTCA